CAATACTCATTATATGGAGATCATGTGTGTCTTGATCCTGCAGGACTAGGGTTACAATAAAGTTTATGACTCTTTTGGCTTGTTGCTGTAACAAGGTTTGAGATCATGATGGGGAGTTCAACGTTGAACACCACATTTGAACTTTCAGTCAACCATTGATGGCAATCCTTAACCATATTTGTTTACATATGAGTTTTTTTATTTGTTAAAATCAGTATCGCTATTTTGAAAAAAACAACGCTTGTTTTCACCAGAGTTCAATTGAGTCACTATCACTTTAGGGTAGTACTGTCTGCATCTCCTTTCAACCTCGTTCAATTTCAACCTATCTCATACAATAGCCTATTTCCAAAATCCAGGCAGTATTATCCTCCTCTAATGATCATTTCTAAATAAAGTTAACAAAACGCCAAAGTGATATCACAGTTCTAACCCATATTCCTTCGTCTAAATCCTGAAATCGAAATCCTCCATAACCAATGCCATCATAACTTCATGGCTATTCAACACCATGGGTCTCATTATAGAACCTCAGTTCGAGCAAATTGACTAGTATTCCCAGTCGGGCTCGGCTTCTCTCATCATTACCGCTCCAGCGATTTGTTCGGACTCTTCGGCATAGTATGATGAATCGCTTCCTATCAGTGTAATGTTTCCGTAGGCGACAAGTCGTCTGCATCTCCTCCTTTATGTTAGCTTTGGACCCAAACAAGCAATAGTGAGTATACATACAAGTGCCCTGTGATGGTGATGTTTCCATAAATCTCCAAGTCTGTCCCAACGAGTGTTCCCATAACTCTGAGCTTTCCGCGGCCCTTGATCTTGTCGTTGGCCATAGTATAGCCATTGACTGCGATAGTGCCATAGGCTTGGACCTTTCCGCTATTAACAAGTTAGCAATTGGAACTTTTTTATCATCCTAGCATCTACTTACTCGCATGTGATGTTTCCATTGAGGCCAATGGATCCATAGGCATCAAGCTTCTCACGAACAATCACATCGCCGTTCAAGCTGATGCTGCTTCCAGACTTGACAGATCCCACAACATCAAGGGGGCCATTGAGAGTGATTTCATGGTCACTCTTGACACTCTTGGATCGCTTGTAGGCAGGTTGTTGACTGTAGTAGCTGGACATAATGAAGTTTGTTATTGTAGTGTTTTCGAGTGTTGTAAAAGATTGAGTTTATTATTTGTAGTATAAACGAATGCTTGGTATCTTTCGAGTTGTTGTGATATAGACTGTAGTAAAGATGGAATTGTTGATTGTGTTCCTCAGGAACAATCCCTTTCTCTTATACCCACGACTTTCAACCCATCTGCGCAAAAGGTTGAAACTGAGAGTAGGCATACTAGAATCTCAAGACTTACATCCGTACGTTTGAAACATCCATGTCGAGTTTAGCCCCCACCATAAGGCATATACTCCAGGACTAGATGATCCCTTATTGCTCAGGCCAGGCACGGGACCTGTAGACGTGCCGGGCACTGCATTGCAAGGGCGTGACGCCTTGTTCTGCTTGGGACACTTGCAAGGAGGCTCATTGGGCTAAACAAAATATGCAGGTCTAGATGGGGAAATGCAGGATAGGTTTCAGTAGCCTGTGATTCATCTTTTGGTAGTCTATTACTGCCTGCGTTTATCTAGGTGATGTCTTAAACTTGCCTATTTCTCATGACTGTCTTTTCTACAATGATAATAACGCTCTTGAGAGCAATCATCATCAAATAAATATACATCTTTTAAATATCAGCATCAACTTGTCACATAATTCGATAAAACTGAAACTATTTGAGACAAACTGACAAGGCAGTCTTTGTGGATCTCCACAGCCAGCCTAGAGAAGACCAAGATATCCAATAATTAGTACAACAAGGGTATAGTACAAGCAGTCCTATCAAGGACCCCAGACGCCTAGTTCATCCTACGAACACCACCATTTCACGCTCTTCACTTTCCAAGGAGGACTATTCTTCTGCATGCACATGCTCCTGGGCGTCATTGGGACCCAGAAGTTAGGGAACAGGCAGACAGGGGTTGTCAGCTTAGGACTGGCCCTTTGCCCCGTATAAGCGTCCTGTTGAGTATACTGAATTGCCGATCAACGTACAATCTATTCTGCTGCCTTGAGATCTTTTCGGGCGTTTCTTAGTTCTAGCATTTCACATAAAAACTCTTGTTTTCGTTAGGAATCGCCCGAGGCTGTACAACCCCTAGTCTAGTCCTTGGGTCTACGGAACGCTTCCCGTTTGCCCATGACCATGGACATGGTTGCATCGCCTCAGCCCTATGAGGGAGAGGAAAAGCCACTTGACTCTCTCGTTGAATTGTAATTCGCTCTATCGTGGGTTTCTCCGTCTACAGACGCACACCATCCATTTTTCTTCCTTCTAGAAGACGCCAAGCTATCGAACAGAATGCCCGATCCATATGTTGCCTATTAGGCACATTAAACATGTGACTAACTTCCAAAGGCTTGACGACATCTTCATTCATGACTCTTCAATGCATACAGCTTGGAGCACTGATAGAGCAACAATTAAATGATATAATCTCAAAATACTGGTGTTCATACATTATCAAAACAAACCTAGCATAATATAACAGAGAAAACAATATAAACAAAAAACACAGCCACTTGAGGCCAATCTCAACGGCATCGCCAACTGGCTATACCCTGAATCCTTCTGACTCCGATCGATATAGGAAAACCGGGGTATCCATCCATCCATCCATCTTCTCATCTCATCTGCCAATCTAGAAACAAGGATGCTATCAACTTCTTCTTTGGCCCCCATCATACCCTGTACAAGACCCTGTACAAGACCCTGTACATGAGGCTGATCTCAGCCTTCTGGAAATGGCACTGCTGGGCATTTAATCTCCGCCAACAAAACCAAGGCCAATGCCACTGCAGATAGCGGCGAATGTCCAGACGCCCGCATATGCAGCTGCTCCAATGGCATCAACTCGATACATGGTCTTGTAAGAGGCAAGGAACGTGTTGACCGCAGCGACAAAAGCAACAATGACTGTTCGACGAATAACCACCTTGGTCTTGACAGTGTAACCCCACACATTCCACCAGACGGTCTCTCCGAGAGATGCAGCCACAGGATCAAACTCGTTGATCTTGTCATCCTCTTTAGCACGTGCCGTGGTCGCGAAAGGCGCAAAGATAAAAGTGCTGGCGGCGATACCGAAAAGGGTTGTCACCGGGAGAATGGCAGCATAAGAAGCATTGTAGGCAGGCTCGAGAGTGCCTACTCCTGAGTAGTTGACAACCAGGATGCGAGGCAGAACGAAACGCAGCGCCAGAACGAGGACAACAGTGTAGATGCCTGTCGACAGAGCGGCCGTATACGACTGAAGTGGAAGGTCGAGGAGCTCGCGGTTAGGCAAACCTGCAGCAGCGGCAGCTGAAGGTGTATGGATGGGAGAGAGTGGGCGAAGTAGGTAAAAGGGCACGGCGACTGAGAAAATATCAATAGCGAGTGCCGAGGCTGCTGTAGTCCAGTTGAGGCCGTAGAAGGTTGTGAGAAGGTAGAACTTTGATAAGTCAGCTTTGAACGAGATTCGGCTTTTGAAGTGGGTTCAACTAACGTGAGGGCCGTGAGATAGTAGATCCAGCATCGCCACGTCGAGGCTGTCTAGCTTTGCATACCATCCTATCGTCAACTCAACACTGTAGTCGCATCTGTTAGTACGTCTTTTGTCGCAAATAGAACATGTCTACTAACATTCTCCAGCCGGCCAAAAGGGCAACTTCTTCCCATGTGTCCTGGGTTCTGCTGAGGCCAGCGAGCTCGGCGTTGGTGAGCTCACTTAGCAAGCTGTATCCCAGTGACGCCATCGCGAAGCTTGTCGCGATCGCAAGAGGGAACTTTGCCGTGTGGGGGACCATATCGCGAAAGGATGGCGGAGGTCGCTGCACTTGTTTTGGTGATGATGGAGTTGTTGTCATCGCCGTGTCGTCGCTGGTCGCGGCGACGCTTCTTCTTGTTGCCATTTCTTTGTTTGTTTTGGGTGAGACAATGTATTGTCCAAGATTCAGGGATACGCCACCTGTCCAGGCTAAGCCGAAATGATAAATACCAGAAGTTTGCGACCTGGATTCAGGGAGAGTCAGGGCGTTGTTTTTGTGTTTGCGATTCAGTGTAGGCGAGGGAGGGTAAGAGTTCAGGCAGTTCAGCACCTAGAGGTAGTAGACAAGGCAGGTTGCAGTGGGGAACTGGTCAATCAGTGACGTCGCTGTCCGGGCAACCTCCATAAGATGGACCTTCACGGCATTTCGCAACCTCGAATTCCCCACTGCGCACCTACTGGACTGGGTTAGTAGCTGTTTTGACAGCCGACATGGAAGATGAAGGTTTTTCTCTTCTCTTTAACCCTCCGATTTTTTTCTCTCTTGTTACAAGCAAGCAATAATTGATTCATCAATTAATCGTTGCCGCAAAAAAGAGGCGATCCTTGATCATTCTCAGCTCTCGTTTTGTTCATCTATTTGTCCTTTGATGGATGAGGCTGGCTGCTCTTCTGTGACCTTGTCTGAATCGTACAGTGATGTCTCATCATCACGATGTTCTTCCTTATTTTTCATCAATTGATTCATTCAATCATTCACTCTTGATCCCGTGGTGATCCAATGTTGTAACACTGTAATGTGGTTTCAATGTTTGATTTCCATTTGGTAGGTATTTATTTGGGCGTCCAACTCGACGCCTGTCCGAATCCTCACTTTAACCTCGTGGCGATGCAATCTCATCTAGTTCCTCACCAGACGGGCCCTCCACTCTTCGGTGCTGGGAATCGACAGCGGAGATCTGGTCCACCTCATGATAACACGCTGTATGTGATACAGAAGATATAAAAAAAAGAAGAAGAGATAACGCGCTTATCCATCGACGTCATCCGATAAATCCAACTCCAGAGCCTGCATGCTCGACCCAAGAGATATACTCCGTCCCAATCGTTACCCATTAATGATGCATCCAAAAAAATCATTCCTCCATGCGACCAAAAACACCATCGTCATCATCTTCACTTCGACCGCGCGAACGCATCTCGAAATCGTCATCGTCCATAACCGAATCGCCGCTGCCATCCATTCGGACGTCTACACTGGGACGTCTCATGTCACCGCGAGTAAAACTCTCGGGCTGTCGACGTGGAAAGCTGTTGATGAAGCTCGCTGTCGATAGTGACGTCGCTTGATCCAGGTACTGAGCCGGCAGCGGAGGAACGGGAGGCGCATCTGCAGGAGTCATAGCAGGGCGGGATCCGTTGTTGCTACCAAAGCTGCAGCTGAGGAGCTCAACTGCAGCAGCTAGATCTCTATCGTCCTCTCCCGTGGCATTGCGACCGGAAGAACTTGGGCGGTGGTGATCATTGCTAGGCTGACGGTAGTGGCCAAAGCCTGAGCCGTATGGCACACTGCCAGCTCCAAACGACGCAGCCGACTGGTAGCTTCTCGCGTACCCGTTACTGTAGCGCTTGTTGCGGTAGGAGGTGCCGTTGACGCTGACACCTTCGGTAAGCGGAGGTGGTGTAGTGTCGGCAGAGCTCTGTCGCTCCTCAGGGTCAGAGTATCTGGAGGTAGCAGGCGATGATGACCCGACCTCACTCTGAAAGTCCTTAGTAGACTCAGGAGGAGTGGCAGCGTTGCCTTCAATGCCGTTCATGGTTACAAGAACAGAAGCAGCTTCAAGCAGCTGGACTTGTTGATGTTTTGAAATGAGCAACTTGGAAGTCAATGCCCACTCAGGTGTGTGTTCCCACCTAGAAACTGTTAGTGACATGGATTCATGAGTACGCAATGTTACACGCCAAAAACAGCTGGTCTGTAAGGCTTCCTGTGCTGGGGCAAGTCATTGGGAGGAGGGGAACCAACAAGTGCTTAGTCAAGCAGCTGCTATGCTTGTAGCCTTTACCGCACTTGTCACAGCGAACCTCAACCCTGTTGCTCTTCTTGCCCTCCTTGAGAGTCTGGCCGTCGCTTGCACGGCGTTGACGAGCCTTTTGGAACTTGGCAGTTCCCTCGTCAGCCGAACCATCATTCATTTCATCGTCAATGGCGCTACCATTGAGTTCTTGCTTCGTCTCGGGTATCGACTTGTGGTTCGGGAGGCTAGCAGGCGGGGAGGGAAGGCTGCCGGCGATGGCAGCACGAGCAGCAGCGCTCTTTGACATTCGGCGGCCGCTGTTGATGGGCAGTGCGTTTGAACGCTCACTCTCCAGAAGAGCAGCGGCGATCGCGGTAACGTTCGCATTCGGGTTTGTGACAGACTTGCGTCGAGTCACTCTATGGTTGGCGTTGAGAGCGCCTGTGAGCAGCGAGTGCGAGCTCGTCCGAGCGTGGGATTGACGGCCGGGGAGGGCCGACGACGTGGACGACATCGGAGAACGGGTCTGAGTCAATGGCCTCGAGGACTGCTGCATTTCCTGAAGAGGACGAAAGGAGATCAGCAAATCTGGGCCTTGATAGGTTGTTATGCCATCTAGCAGGTCGTGAAAAAGATCATGACAGGGCTCGGGCTCGGTCCCTCCGAGGGTTGAGGGCAGCGTACTTTGGATGAGGCCATTGCCGGCGACTTGGTATATGTTCAGGATTCGACCGACTGGAGTCGTGTCGATCACGAACTAGGCGTTTGGTAGAGTGTTGGTAGTTAGACTTGAACCGGAGATGCTTGAATGATGTTGACAGGAGGAAGAGAAGTGGTGAGAGGAGAAAGATGTTGCCAGCAGGAGTCCCAGAACAGACGAGAAATAATATTTTGGGAAGCAGCACCCAAGCCCAGGGTGTGTGTGTGGTCAGGAGCGGGGCGTATGTAGCAGACTGGTGTCTGAATAGGATGTCTGAATTGATTGATGCCTGTGCGATGACTATCGAGACTTGCTCAGTTCAGTGAAAGCGCACCCGGCTGGTCACTTATTCACTAGTACCTTTGAGCCACCAAACATGGCCTTGTGCCTTGGAAGTCAAGAGGGGGCTCAACCATAGGGAGCCAAGGCCCTGGACCGGGTTCCAACGACTTCCACCCAGCGCTACATGCTGCCATTTGTTCTGGTGTTCGGGGGGCTCTCCAGCCATGGAGTGGCTACGGGTGGGGTTGAAGCGGCAGGTCGATTGGTTCGTTGACACCCTTGCCAAAGCATTCGAACTGAGTTGCAGCAGGGAAAGAGAGCCCGTGAGAGGGAGAGAGAGCCTGAGAGGGAGAGGAGGGGTCAGGCCGTGGTCCGCGGATAGGTGTGGCGTTAGAACGTGGGTGTGTCATGCGCTCAAAGTCGCAATCGGCCGGCGAACGGGGGCTGAGCAATCGATGGCTCTATCCCATCCCCTTGTTCTGACCTGAAGGAACGGACAGGTATTCTGTGAAGAAGACACGAGACAAATTATGCCTGGCTTCGCTCGCTACTATCAAAGGAAGTGACGGCAAGAGCATGCTATCGACAGTCGATAGTGATCAACTTGGAGGGGACATGCTGGCAGTACAGTACTGTACAGACATGCATACAGACAGACAGACAGAAGCATGTATCCCCTCAATTCCCCTCCCGTCCTGCATGAGGCGTTGTGCTTTTGCGCTGGTCCATGATTGGATTCCCCTCACAAACTGGCACCGGTCTTTGCTTGATAAGGTATAAAAGAGTGAATTGGCACGGTTTATGCACCATCACAAATCGTGCCAGGGTCTTGTCCGCTGCACATCGTTGTAGCCAGGGGAATAAACTAGACCGTTTCCACTGTTCCTGAAGGTTATCTGCTTGAGAAAGTCAGGTCCCGTCTGCACAAACGGTTCCAGGCGGAGGGTATAAAGAGAGTGCATCTGTCTTAACAATCGCGGTGGGTAACGCTCGTCGTTTGGCTTGGGTTTCCTGTTGGGTAGACAGTCATTGAATCAAATCGTCTTTGTTATGCTCGCCGCTTAATTCTGGGCTGATTCGTCACCCGACGCGTCCATGTCCTCATTGCATTGCCTGGACTCCGTCCGTAGCACAATAGGTACATAATACATTTTTGTACAGTGCCTTTGGTCAGTATGTATAAAAATATACATACTAGACTTTAATTATCACGTTGCTGCTGCAGCCATGTTCGCCCTCTCCATTTCCCCAACTTCCGAGACGGGTAGAGTGGACGGTGGCCCCGTGGCCTGGTTTGTAGCCTGTCTGCCTGCTGGCTGTAATAGCAGCCCTGCCCGGACTGGGCGGCCCAGTCTCGCCAGACTTAATCGAGATGGTAATGAGCTCGCACTGGGTGGGGAGCTGAGTCGGTTTGGATGGTAGAAGTGAGGAGTTGATGCCGAAGGGAAGACTCATTTTGGGGACCGAGTGGGGTCTTGAAATCTGGGGGATGTAATTGTTAGTGAACACTCGCACTGTAAACTCTATTCCAGAGAAAGGGAGGCAGCGCGATGTGTTTGACCACCAATGCCTACATATTCAATGCAATAGCTCAACAAGACGAGATGATCGCTGCAATAATATCTGGTATCGTTATAGCGAGATTGTCTCAGATCCTCGGGCTGAGATTGCTTGAAGTTTCTTGAACAAGTGGCCGTCAATTCATCTCGTATTGTAATTTTGTACAGCTGTCAGGTACCAATATCGATCTGTGCTCACCATGTCAACTCTCGTATGTAATAGGCTGTGTCTCATTAACTCCTTTGTTCAAGGCACTGCTGGGTTTGGAAATCAACAAATATTGAAAAAAGAGACGAGGCTCTCATGTCTCTCGCTAACTGTACAGAGTACCAGCGTGAGACGCGTCTAATGAGACGTCTGACCAAGGACCGATCAATGGATATGTTTCGAGCCCTGGGTTGTGGATGTTTTGGAAACCTGTTTCTGTAACCATCCCAACGCGTAATGCTTTTCTTCAAAGGTTATTTGTATTGTTTTATGCCTGAAGTTTAATTTATGCAGTTTCAATGTCGCTGATATCAGCGTCGTTATTGCTTGCTTCTCGCCAAGAGATTGATTGATTGATGACTGAGCGGCGAAGCAACAATTCATGTCCGTCACAACCACAGTACGAATTCATCTATCCCTGGCATGTTACAATCCATCCTTCTGTTAGAAACGATTCCTCCTATCCTCTCCTCTTACACGTGGTGATAACCCATGCTCTTTCAACTCAAACCTAACCCTTGCCCTGGCCCTGAATGCTGCAGTAACCTTAACAGGTTAATCCAGCCAAGTGACCAAGTGGTGATCTGATCTGATAACGCTGCGGTACTGTACACGTTTGCTGGTCTGACTTATTGGCCTGATGTTTTATACTCCGATCCGGCTGGTTAGGCAGAAAGTCAGAAGGAAGAGGGACTTCTTCTTATTCGGCAATGGCTTGTTCTGGACGTTCCAAGGAGAACAAAAAGTTAAGACCCTTCTTTTTCCAACTTTTTTTTTTCTTGGTCGATCTTTCAGCGATCGATGAACCATCCATGTAAACTCTTGTCAGGGCTACACGTCCCATGCCACTCTAAGAGATATTGCATTGATCGTGTAGAATACCTAGTAGAGTTTTGCTTACTGTCTCGAGCATTTCGGAATTGAAATGCTCTTGTTTCTTGAGAGTATAGCATCTTTGAGTATAAATTATTTGATTTAGAGCTCCCTAAAGCGGTTAGGGCGTGTAGTTAATTTACTAATGGGATGCATACCCCTCATTCTTAGTTTCTCGATACAGACAGAAGCCGATCCACCACCACCACCCAAGAGTCGTCAGCTACAGCCACCATCGCGTCGCTAAAAAAGCCATTGTCAATGGAAGCAAAAAAAAAGGAGAGCCCTGGATCTAGTTGACACCGCAATTTTCGGTTAGCTGGTACGCTTAATAAAGGGACAGGTTAGCATTGACAATGACTGACTGACGATACTAAAAGGGGCAGGGGAAGTAATGTTCTTTCTATTGGTCTTTTTTATCATTGAACCAGATTAGCCCAGATTCTCACGTAAGTGATGCACAGAAAGGAGGCGGGTGTGAACGGTAACAAACAACTCAAGCATCCTGTCCAACGTGTCAAGATATGTGATAGATAGACTATTGCTTATGTATGTGCATCTACTATATACACAATATCTTATGCGGCACTTGACTGCAATCATTGTCGAATCCCAGATACATATGGTTGATCTACGTACAGCACTGATGTACCCATTTACCCCTCAAACTGCTATTCCCTTCTTGGATCCTCACAGATCACAAGCACTTTCACCTGACCTAACTGCTGCACTTCCGTCTTGCCGTCCGTTGTGTCTAGTCACAGGGAGTCTACCTTGAAGAGGAGGAAGTATCGTGAGAATTTGGGAGGCTGTGTTGCTCCAACCCTCTACGGGTAAAAAAGGTGGCCTGTGCTGCTGTTGTGTTGTGTAACTGCGGAAGGTGTAACATAAGTCTTTGATCACCACTGTCTCTCTCGATCAGACGAACTGCATACCCAAACATACAGGCTCATGATTTCCGGCTTCTTTTTTCCCATTAACACCCTCATCTCGAGATTATTAATGGTCTCTTTAGCATTCAACATTCATCACACGTTCCTGACTATCCTACGGGGCATTGCCGTCTTGAGATAGGATTTGACGATCCCTAATATGAATCCCAGTTCCCGTCGGAAAAAAGTCTACCAATAACGAGAGGTTATCCAGTACCAATTTTCCAATAATTAAGCTTCAACACGTGGAGTTGATGCCTTGAAGATCAAATCGAATAACTGTAGTGCATTCCTTGGAATCCTTTGTCAAATTGGCTTTCAGATACGAAGACAACAATTCAAGTTTTGAGATCGCAACGACGTCATCAGAGCGCTCCCCTGGCTAGAAGGTAACTGACTATTGGAACCCATTCAAGATTATGTCCTGAAATCCCTTCACTTCCTTTTCAGATATTGATTGCACATTAACTTTGCCATTTTCATGCGTATTTCACTCAATGATGTAATTCTGACATGCGAATGAACAGTCGACCACCACTCGGTGATCAACACTGGTGTTGAAAGAAAAAAAATACTGGTTCCCTTTAATTAAAATGACAAAGACTCCATAAGAGTGGAATTCCTAGCCTACTAAGACAAGACCGCATTGGGGGTGCTTTGAGCTTACATGAACAAAGGCCAATCAGACTCGATATACATTCCTCCACATTCTGTCAATCTCGATCCTGTTTTGAGACAGAAAAAAAAAATTGATTGAGAAACGAGCACTCGCATCCATTCACTGCCGTGCGAGTATATCGTTATTGGCCAGTGGGCTGCTCAACAGTGAGATGAGACATTTACACTAGGGCAGACAATACTTCACTGTACACCAATATAGTATCTGTCCTGAATCTGACTATTGTCGGCAACAGTATTGAATTGCTCGCATTGCCGGCTCTGCAGCCGAGCCCTGCGTTGACGATCCGGGGGATCACTGGCCGTTAAAGCACAAGCACTGGATCTTTGAAAGAGCCGCCGCTTCCAGAGGCCCGCTGTCCGCTACACACACTAATACTGCACTACAAAGCACTATAGACAGCACTGTACTGTACGAGAGGCTTACCTAGTCTGGTTCATGACAGCTGGAGCCGGGTGGATATCTGGACCGTCTTAGTGTCAGAGGCAGCAACACGCAGTTTGGCAACCAACCAACCCAACAATCACCTCTCTTGGACTCTTCCGTCCCTTAGGGGCAGAAGACCTAACACTAATCCAAATAGGATCGATACCATTGGAATGGTCGGTGACGACCTGCCTCGCCCTACGCTTGTGTTTGCATGAATGAATGCATGAATTGATCGAGAATGAGACCTCATCAGTCACCAGTATTCGGACCTTTGAATCCACTTGAAGGGTTCTCAACCAGTTACAGAATCTCTGGCCGGAGTCATATTGTACAGCACATAAACTGGTAGTCTGTACAGCATCGGCACTTACATTATGATGCCGCCAGTTGTCCAGCGGTACAGAGCGGTTGCGAGCCCGAACTCCGTGTCCGCCAGTTGCCGCCAAATGCCATTTGTGTTTCTGTCGCCGAGGCTTCCTTTCCCCGCCTTGTGAATCAATTACCCTCTCCTTTATCACGACGCCCGCCTCGCTGGGCTGGACTGGGTCTTGCTGATACCTGTGGCACAGCTGGTACGCCCCACGGACAGAATACGCACAGGGGCGTGCTCCGAGCCTCGACAGGGATTCAAAGAGATGTGGATATGGATGTTCCTATCTTGATAAGAATGGGGATTTTCATGCCTCAAGTTAACTGGATACAGGCAGTAACAAAGGATGTTTGAAAGATGCCTCCATGCTGTCTGTGACTCTCGCCGTTACAAGCACGAACAATTCCGAGAGGACAACGTCAGCAACGTTGTATTATCACGGCAAGGCACTGCTCGATATTCCATGTTCCTGAGCTGTGCTGTTCCTGCATGACATGGGAGCTGCCCAGTCCACGTGGTTTCATATCATTGTGTTTATGATTCCTTTACGTTCTGGCTGAGGTCTTGAGACATGGCAAGGATTCCATCGATGGGATCGTCTGGCCAAATTTCTAAAGACAGAGCAGAAGCTATGGCTTGTTAGCCTGTCCCTTCCCGAGATCAGCAATGCTTGTCGGGGCCGGACTGGGCCAGGGACAGCTTAGAAGACGGGACGAATGGAATGTTGGTTGGGTTCTGAGCCCTACAACGGGTGGATGGGTACCCGAATTCCTTTTGCTCAGATTCCAGAAACAATGAATAACTCGACTAGCCCTTGTGGCTTGAGGGTTGATGGCGGGTTGCAGGTCAATTTTGAGATTGTGGCTTCAATTTCTTGGACGGATGTCCCGCAGGATTCACCATTTGAAGGCGTGCGTGACGTGCTTCCCAGTATGTAGATAAGCTCAACAGAGGTCGACACTCACGATTGCCCATTTGAAAAAGACGTACTTGGAGATCTGCAGCATGTTGCTTGATAAGGGCACCAAGCCTCGGATATCAACGAGTAGTCAGTCTAATATCCTTCATGGGTGGTTGGGTGAGTGATTGCCGATGTCGGAGCGCTCTATGACAAAGTGTTGGGCTTTCTTGACGAGGTCTGTGTGATTTCATGGGATCATAGTGGATATGCATGGTTGATTTGTTTATTGAAGTCTATTCTGTATAAATTGTGATGTGTGGATTGTGTTATTCGTTTTCGTGAATGCCACGTCTCGACGCGAGTGGGATAAGAGGGCTTGCTTTTACACACCCTAGCTCTTGTCACAGAATCAGGATAAATTGAAGGATCTACAGGATGAATGTGTTTGATCTAGATTGGCTCAGATATGCTAGATCTCGGTACCTGCGAAGCCTGTCTCTCAAGATTGAAGACCTCTTGAACTCTTACAACAATGTCGATCATTAATCATGACATCAACTTGCAGTTCAAGCCACAATAACAAAAGAGACATTTTCTATTGAGAGACTGTCATACACAAAACATAATTTTATTATCTTGAGAGATTGAAGTAATGACAACTTGAAATGTCTTGTACATACATGTGAAAGAGAGGCAAATCGCTCATAGCAACATAGCACACAGCCAATCTATCAAGATCTACAGTCTAGTTCATGTACCCCGCGGATTAGAGTGTTCTTAATTTAGGTAGTTTCCATTTACACAGCGGGCGCCGGACCATTTCTCATGTCCGAATCCATTGACACATAAAAAGACCGCAAGTCGCCTCGTCGCACTCAAGATAAAGTTATTCGCAGGAGGCGGATTTGTCTGAGAGATAGAGGCAACACCAATATGAAACTCATCATGTCTGACAAAGTACAGTCCCTAGTTCAGGTTGTACTATAGTTTAAAGGCTCATCCCCCACGCTTCTTAATCCGTCGGTGGCTTGATCGTTTTGAGGATTTTAGATTTTCTTCTTCTCATCTTGGCTTTTTTTTAATATAGAGATTTGAAGTTTATCTTTTGTTTATTATTGCTACAGCCACAACAACAACACCCCTGATAACTACCTTCGTTGCCTGGCATTAATAGCCACATTGTCTTAATCTCAATACCACATATCATTATCATAACAACAAAACGACAATGACTGCTGATCAAGACGTATATCGCAAGACTGGAAGAGGTGGAGCAGGCAATTACGTTGTCCAAAACAAGGCTGACGAAGCCGACAAGGTAAACTTACCACGATACTCGTTCTCTCTCACAGTCTCACATTCGAACAGGATCTTGAAGCTCAAAGCCTAGCCACCGACGAAGTCCCCCCTCCAGATCGTGCAACAGCCAACGTCCCAGCGCGCGCTGGACGCGGCGGATCCGGTAACTACGTCAACCCGTCAGACCTGCCCGACGCGGCGGAGCAGGACGAGATGGCTAGAAAGACGGCTGCTGCGGTGAACGCGAGCCTTATGAAGAACCAGAATGTCCGGGGAGGTGGGCTGGGCGGTCGCGGAGGCGCGGGGAACTGGAAGCATGCTATTTCTTTCGAGGAGGAGGAGAGGATGAGGGAAGAAGATAGGTCGAGGGGTGAGGCGTTGGAGAGGAAAGTTAGGGAGACGGTTGAGAAGGGGTTGAAGATGCCTGAGAAGGTGCATCATGGACCTCAGCATATCAAGCGTAATGATTGATTAGTCTTGGATTACGGTGTGTAGGAATAGTGTTAAATCATTTGGTTGGAATAATTGAGTAATTTGGTTGATCCATGAATGGGCATTGTCAAGATTGTGTTAATATTTCATCACTTATACTCATACCAATCAACCTCTTCTTTCCCAATCAAGTCCTCTCCATATGTCATAATCCATTCATACACAAATACATATCCTATAAAACTCTCTCAAAAAGGCCTCGGAATCTCTGCTTCTCTAGCCAACATAAAAGCAATCGAGCTAAGTTCATCCAAGCCCATCACACCTTCGTTCAAACCAGGGAACTCAAAGAGGTCAAAATCCGAATCACATACAGTTCCATTAGCAGGCAGTGTTCCATTTTGAAAGTACTCTCGTATGTAACGGACTGAGCAAGTTGAGGGTGCTGCAAGAGAACAATGCTGAAAATGAAGTTAGTTTTATATCTTGTAGAGGAAGCTCAAGATGTCTTACCCCGTATGCATTCTGGGTCAGGACAACTGAGCTTGGGAACTTGGCTGAGTTGTTGAATGCGCTTTGTAGAGGCGTGACGTTATCAGCTATGTTGCCGATATAAAGAATAGGATGCGCAGTATCGCCCCTAAAGTCGGCTACTCAACATGTCAGCGTCTTTATCTTATACTTTCATGCCGGGGCTGGAGTTAAGGTACTCACCATCTGTAAACTCCCACTTCGGTCTCGTCTTTCTTCCAACACAAGAAACGCGGAAATTAGCATTAGCTGCACCAGCCCAGCGACTCTTGTTTGTAATCCTGTCAAAGTACTCTGCGATTTCCTCTGGCGACTCGTTCGCGGCCTTTGAATCCGAGCACATAATGGCAGGGAAAGCATCGAGTTCCATTGGCGTCTCGAAAGGCGTTGTAGCAGGAGTATCTCCCAGCTCGCAAAAACCTCCCTCAAGAGCCTTGTTATCGCTCATCTCCAGGACCATCTCATAGAAAGGCACTCCGTCACCTTTCTCCAGAGCGGCAAACACACGAGCCAGTTGAGGAAACTTGACGATCGGGGCATAGATACAAGTCTGGATAAGGCGCTGAAGATGGGAGTAGGAAATCAGGACGGGTAGTTCAGGACCTGAGTCTTGAGACCATGCGGGCAGCAGAACTGGTGACTTCTTGAGGTGGGCGAGGAGATCGTCTCGTCGCTTCTCGATGGCTTGGGGAGATTCAGCGTGGAATGCACACTTGAGAGGGCCGACTTTGTGGCATGCTGTGTCAAAAGCGTCGAAAATCTTGTCTGTATCAGAAACAAAGTTTCCGTGATCCAAGTTGAACCAGTCATGATAGTCAACGTTTCCTGAGTCCTTAGTTAATCATGATCAAGTAGAGTCGATATCACTGGGAACTCACCATCACTGACAAGTCTCTCTACCCGCTCAGGATACAGCCCAGCAAACACACCACCAAGGATAGTGCCGTAACTAAAACCCCAATAGCGGAGCTTCTCATTACCAGTCTTGTCGAGAATCTCCAACATATCTCTTGCGATGGATGCGGATCCGATGAACTTCATGAGACCCATGTCCTCCATTGCTGATTCGCATGTGCCCGAGTAGGCTGCAGCTCGGGCGTAAGCATCGTAGATAAGACCTGGATGTTCATCGGCTACGGGTGTGTCTTGAAGAGCCCAAAGTCGTCGTCTTTGGGATGAACCCCAGCATTCAACACGGGGTGTAGAAACTCCAACTAAAATGGTCAGTATTTCTGTTAAAATAGTGGCTTGCAGATATAACTCACCTCCTCGGGGGTCGAAACTGATAACATCCTAAAACAGTGAGTAGATTGTGCTGAGTGTAGGTTTTGGATGGACTTACATGGTTGTCGCCCACAATTGCTTGTAGAATGTAACCCTCGCGCTTTACAAAGGCGATTCCCGAACCTCCGGGCCCCTAGTACCATTCAGTCAGTATATATAACAATCAATTAAAAGTGAACGAGACCATACCCCAGGGTTAACGAATAGCGGGGAGACTGTGTTGTTATTGGACTTGGCTGGCAGTTTGATAACTCCAAGTACCACACGCTTGCTATCAGAAGGTTTCAGCCAATCCATGGGGACCTGAACATATATTATCAGCATCTGGTATAAGTACCGGCGAAGCCATTACTCACGTCAAGCCTTGCACATTCAAATTTGTCATAGCAAGGCTCCCAGCGTAGGTCTCGTCGTGGTTTGATCTGTAGTTTCCGTCAGATATCCAGTCCTAGTGATGTAAATTGGTCCTTACATCGTTCCAAGTCCATGGCTTCACTGCTGGTTCCTCGATGTCATTTGGTACAGGGTGAGGGCGGTGGTGGAAGAAGCCAATGAGACAAACAGCAGCCAAGAGTCCCAACACAGTAGAAACGTTAGATCTGCGTGGGCGCTGCTGAAGGCGGCCTCTTAATAGAGGCATTGCCTCTGGTGTCGTCTTTTCATTCATAGCGAGAAGGAATATCGCGGAGCCCACTCTGGTCGAAGAGTTGGGACTAGATAGACCAAATTGTTACTCAAGTTCACAAATCGCCGAACATAAAGAGGATGAGAATAAATAAAAACAGACAGAACGAGGATAAGATGAAAGAAATTGGAACGTGGTGTCGGCAAAGTCCATCTTACGAATCGCTAGCTTTTGCCTAAGACATACCTGCAGGACGGGATGAATGATAAGCCAGATCAGCGACCAAGAGGAGACGGTGATTGATTGACCAACATAAACCTGGCAAACCCGGTCCAAGACATCCCTTTTTTCAGCTCTCAACATCCAAGTTCGACTTGCCTTGCAGGGCAGAGGGAGACTTTCTTACGCTCAGGTACTCCAAGCTTACGTCGTCCTATCACGTAGCACTTGATTCCAATTGCCTATTTCAGGACAGCGTCAAGAGTCATGAGATCCATCCATTTGGGTTTTGCCTATCTGATCGTCGTCTCGACTACTAACATTAGTGGCCCAACTCTGCATGGCTTCAACGGCTAAACTCCTTGGAAAATCATGTTTGGTTAACTTTGTTTTATTAAGTGACCTCTTTTTTCAAAAGTTGGTTCTATAACATTGATGATGATGATGATGATGATGATGATGATAGCCTGCCTGTCCAAATCATTCGAAAGCGTCCCGTACTGAACGCTCCGGAATGAAAATGACAAAAGGTCAACCCGGACATGCTAGTTGGGATATAGATAACTGGAAACACAAATCATTCCGCCAAAAAAGAGTCACAATCCAAGTCTTTCTTCTTGCGGGTTCGGGTTGGGTGTGCGCGCTCTCTGCATGACGAAGAAAAATGCTTTCTCTCTATAGTATCCCAACGCCGTGGTATGCCTTCGAATCAAAAACACCCATAACGCCCTTGTCTCGTAGACCTTTTTTGCTTTCGCTGTCTTAGTAGCCCGCCTCCGCGCTGGACATGTTGCACCGACTTTCTCTTTTTAGATTCCACCGCCAATGAGTTTTCCCATTCAGTCTTCCATGTCGACATCGCCCATCTCATCGTCGTCCTCGTCGTCATCCTCATCATCTTCATTGTCAAACATGCCGCTCTCGCCCTCCTCGTCATCATCCTCGTCGTCGTCAACCTCGAGAGCAATGGCGACTCTCTTCTTCTCGCCACCGAAAACCTTGGACTGCTGGCGCTCGGGCTCCATCTCCTCAATCTCCTCCTCTCCCAGACCAAGCTCGCGCAGACGCTTCTTCTCGCTGCCGCGCATGCGGGGCAGGAGATGCTCGTTCTCAGCGACAAGCTTACGGGCGGTGGCGAGCTCACGCTCACGCTTGCCAGCCATGCGCTTCTTGTAGAAGACGCGCTCGCGACGTTGGCGGATCTCAGAGACACGCTCCATGGCCTTGAGGGTCTTGCCCATGAGCTCTCGGTCGTAGCGGACGGGAACGTTGCGGCGGGCGGCGAACTGCAGAGTAGAGTCGACCGTCATCTCCTTGCCGGCGGCCTTGCGGAAGGCCTTTGTCCACTTCAGCTTGCGAGGGTTACGCTTCATCTTGAACTGTAGAGTAGCAATGTTAGCGGTGTGAGGTCTGAGGCAGGTCGCAATGCTGCTGTAGACGTACGTTCTTGTGGCACTTGCTGCGGCAAAATCGAAAGACTCGGGCATCGTTGCGCACAAAGGTGATACCCTTGCTGGGGTAAGCAGGGCGACTGCAGAAATAACAGGTTTCGATTCTAGAGTAACTCGTCAGTGACAGTTCAAGGTAGAGCTCAAGTCTCGATATCGTAGATGCTCAGTCTCCAAGAGGATGAACATGACAAGTATATCCTCGATCAAGACAAGCATTCAGTATAGAGTCCATCCGTATCCAACAACTTACCTCATTTTGTATGGGTGGTGGTCTACAAGACCAAAACGACTTCAATTCAGCTTCCCACCCCACTGGTTTTGAGGTATCCCGAACTTTTTTTCGCTCTAAAGATTTTTTTGTTCCCAGCCGCCATCTGAGCTTATCGATAACAACACACCGGACAAACATGATTCCGAAAGTCACCGGTCCGCGCCGGAGACTCTTAGAAAACTTTCCCCGATTTGCCCTCCGGGTCGAACATCTCCATCTGCCTCACCCAAGCTACGTCTGTTGAGAACGAAATACAATATTCAAAATGGCTTCTGTTATGGCATGGGGTGCCGGCGCTGCCGTCGCGGCCTTTTTGGTACGCAACCAAGGAAAAGGAATATCGAATTCTGGTCACTAACATCCTTTTGCAGGGTCGAGCTGGTCTGGTCGCATGGAGACGCTCACGAGGTGGCGTTGGAGCCATGGGCAAGGCTTTCTACAAGGGTGGTTTTGAGGCCAAGATGACCAAGAAGGAGGCTACTCTGATCTTGTCGCTTAAGTATGTGTTCATCAAACTTACTACACTCAACAACATACTAACATCACACTCAGTGAGCGAGCCATTACCAAGGACAAGGTCCGCAAGGCCCACCGAACCCTCATGCTTCTCAACCATCCCGATCGAGGTGGAAGCCCTTATCTTGCGACAAAGGTGAACGAGGCCAAGGAGTTCCTGGACAAGAACGGTTAAATCATGACGAACAATAAAGCACTCATTCGAGTCTCGATATTCGGACCCATCAGAATCGATTTATGAGCCTTACAAAAAAAAAAGCATAATCAACGACCAGGGTCTGGCGTGGGCATATGGCCGCGTGTGTAAAGTGTACACTACTTGTTTCCATAGCGATGGCGTTTGTTGGGTTTAAGAGGAGGCTCTTTGGAGCCAGGTGATGGGATATGCCGTCGTTAAGCTATCTAGGATGAATGTTGTATGAATACAGGGCCAATCGACCCGTTCTCTTCTCATGATGCTTTCGGTTGCCTTGTTACAATTACAAAAAATGTCCACACAGTTATGGTCTCTGTCTGGACTGGCGCTCCCCGCACGAATCCTTCATTTAGTCCACCTCATTGAGCATTTTGTTGCTCTGCTGCTCGTTCCCATTCGCCTCTTGCACCGCAATTCCAAGCATAGCGCAAAGCGTGTAATGAGAATCGTTGCCGGCGTTGTGCAGATGCTTGTTTGGAATGTCCAGATCGTTGAGCACGGTGACGAGGCCTCGTCCATTGGGTGAGCTACGCCAAGCTTGGTGGAGGTCCTGGGTGTCGACAGGCTCTCTCAGTCCAGCCAGGGCTCGGAGATCTATACCTATCTCGTTGAAGTAGGTGAAATCCTGTCGTACATCATGCCCTACGACGATGATTTCCCGTTGGGAGAAAAGATAGGGGTTAAAGATGCCCATGATGGTTTCTTGAAGTTCGGCCTTCTGAGGGAAGATACTTTGTCTGTCGAATAGTTAGTGTCACGTAAAAACATAAGCAAAGTCACTCTTACCCAAAGTCAAAGTTGTCAGGACACCCTTTGACAAATTGGTAGTTTCGCAAACCAGCATATTCATGCACTCGAAGGTGATGAGTTTTGACCATAGGCCACCAACCACGACCAACGTCCTTAGGGTGAACGCCTTTGATGTCCCGTGTATCCAGGATGGAAATTCCAACCTCAGAAATAGGGTTTGGCTTCCGTTCGATAGCTTCAACGTCGACACAGATGAAAACGATGTCGTGGCCACCAGGGTCTCCTGCAAGACCTAGGTAACCCACTGTGTTGCGAAGCATTTGGTCCCTGTGACGCTTCTTCTTCGCCGCCTTGTCTGGATCTACAGTCTTTTTCGACGAAAAGCCGGTCTTAACGGTTCGCATCTTGGACCTCCAGGTGAGCTGTTGCGGTGGCGATGCCGCTTGGAAGCCCCTTACGTCTTCGGGGTCGATTGCGGGCCATGGTCGAATGTCAAGGGAGGTTGTATCCAAAGATCGTCTCAAGTAACGGGGACGAGGGGTGCCGCCTTCACCAAACTTCATGTAGAACTTATCATTGTTCATGGCTCCAACAGGGATTCTAAAGAAAGTGCCCAGCTTGAGGTTGATTTCTTCGAGGAAAACTTCGAACTGGGCGGATGGAACCAAAAGGTAAGGGTCTCTGGCTGGCTCCATGGGGTGATGAAGGTAGAAACTTGCAAAGTTAGCAACGAAAACGTAGCAACAAGAGATGTACTTACAAGTCCCAAGTTCGATCCTGGAGAATTTCAGTGAAAAATGGCTTCGCCTGTTACAGGATTAGCCAGTGAAGAGTAAGACCGTAGTTGGTAGCACATACACGAGGCTTGTTGACCTTGCCGATGAAGCGTTCGGGATATGACACAACGACCTTGAACGGGCAGAAAGTGAAGTCCTTGTGGGCGGGTTGGCCGATGCGAAAAGTAGTGTTGTCAAATGCCTTTCTCTTGTTGCTTTCGAGCAGGTCTTTTCGGGCTGCATCAGCTTCAGCTCGGAGCTGTTCCTGAGAGGCCTGCTCTCTAGCTGCAATTCGTTCCTCATTACGAACATACTCATCATCCATCACCATTCCGAAGCTATTTCCAGAGCCAGTTAAAGGAGGCTCATCTTCTGTGTTGTCTTTGTGTGGCGTTTCGGCAAGCTTCACGCCGTTGCCCAAAAGCTCCTGCAGCTTCTCCAAACGACTTTGGAGGTCCGACATCGCTGGCATTTCCTGCAAGGCAGAAAAGAAGCGACGATGGGAAGAAAAATTGAAAAGGCCGTGGAAGAAGCGCTATTGAAAGAAAGAAAGAAGAGAAAAGAAAAGGAAGAGAATTAAACCCGTGGTTGGGGATGATAGGCAGTGCAGCTTCAAAGGCTAGAGTAGAGGGAAGCCTTCGTGCGGCAGGTGCGGTGCTGTGAGGGAGGAAAAAAGGGCAGATGAGAAATGCACCCTTTTGGGCTTATTTGTCAAGGCCAAGTGATTCACTGATGTTATCACCCGCCTTTAAAAAGTGAAAACAAAGGGAAGTGTTGCCTCAAAAATAGATGCCAAACGGTAAGTGATTGCTCTGCCACTGCCACTGCCAATGCCAATAATTGTTGGATCGTCATACAGCGGGCCTCCACATACGGCTGTGTACAGAAATACCAACGCTCATCAATAATGCAGACCGCTATATATTACTTAGATTCTACGCAGCGTTTTCGGAATATACTGAAAACAGAAGCGAGTATTTAATGCATTTCTTTATTTAATCGTTTTAATTCTTCATGGTTGGTTCATGCTAGACTCTTTGCGCCTGATAGTAGATAACCGCGAATCAGCCAAACTATTGACTTAATACATAAATCAACTCTGTTTAACAAACAACAAACTTTACTTCGCTTACATCATTTTGATCTGTAGAACTGGTTCAAGTTAGCAAGCTGCCAGAAGCCTTTATTGCGAAACGTACCTCATCAGCCTCGTCTGGGGTGACATCAGACACATCCGATTGCTTGTTGTCAATTAGACCCAGACGACCCCATCGCACCTTGAACCAGAAGTCTCGTCGGTCACCTCCCATGTCTCCAGAGAGCAGCTTCTTCTTCATCCCTTTCATAAAGGTGTTGTAGAGTCCTGGTTCTTCAATACTGATGAGTTCCTCCCTCATCACGCCCAGGCATTCCAGAGCGCGTTGGTATTTGTTGTCGCCAAAGCTTTCTGTAACAAATGTTGATACAATGGTGCCCATTTGATGAGTTGCATCTTCAATCTCCGAGACCTCTTCGGTTACTGCAAGTACCTGCTTGAATTCTGGAACTGCATTGTCAGGGCTGATCTCCTTCTTTTCCTCTTCTTCCAGAAGGGCGTCAACATCGAGGCCTGAAATTGGCTTGACAGTTTCTCTGCCACGCTTGCCCTTGACCTTTGGTGGTACTGTTTTCTAGTTAGCTATGATTCATAACGATATAAGGTAGAACACAAACCTTTTTTGACATCTGCCGCTTGAATGAGGGCATCGGCCTTGCTCTGGACCTTCTTAATCAGATCTTCTGGTGACTGTGCGAATCGGAGCAATATGGACGGAGTTTCTGGAACTGGCTTCTCAGGATACACTGCTCGTGATTTCACTGCATGGTTCACTCGGTGAATTGTCGGGTTGAAGGTGTCATCAATAGGTACATATTCAGACACATCACTAAAAAGTTAGCAATAATAAGGTGAGCATAGATTGAAACGTACCCATCATCATCCACACCATATGTTGACAAATCCATGGCGTCAACGTAATCACTCATGGCATCGTTGAGCTCATCCGTAGGCAGCAGTCGGTGCTTGGTCACAGTCTGGCCAGTAACCGTAATCACTCTATCCAAAGGAGGGAATTGGTAGCTTCGGATATCCTCTGCAAATGGAAGTGGAACGTCGTAGAGACACTCCATGTCTGGTTCTACGCCAGGTGCCAACAGCACCAACAGCGGATCTTTGGCATCTTTTGTCACAATCCGGGCAATCGCATAAGACTCAAGCTCGGAGAGTGCCCATACAAGAGACGAAAGCGCGAGGGCGGATTTGGCATCAAATTTGCGTGCTATCGTCACGCAAGTCTCGCCCAGGTTGAGAAATGGTTCGTACTAAACAGCATAAGTACAAGGAATAGGGCGATAGTTCGCATGTGACATACCTTTGCGCATGGAATGAAGCCAATGATCGAGAAGCTCTTCTGTGTGTCAATCTTGGTGATGTTGTGTTCCGACTCGCTGATGTGTACTGCTGTTCGGCCATATTCGTAGCCCTTGGCAAGGTCATCAAACTCGACATCTCGCTTTCCTCCTGGAGCATCTGGGTCATTAACCTTGTATGAACGAGCTTGCTTGACTGCAGAAAACTCAAGGCCCTCCATCTCATCGTCTTGAGTGTATTGAGTAGCTTCAGCATCTGCACCTTCAGACTTGATGACTACTGTGCTTGCTGTCAAAGGGCGTGCCAGATGTGTCTTGAAATATCTCTCGACATTGATGCTCATCGCAGCAGGAAACGTCTCGGGGTCTCCAAGAGTGAGGGCGCCGTCATAAGTCTTGTATGGTTTGACTGCTTTGATTCGAGGGGTGTCAAGCTCATCAATGGCTTCAGCGATGTTTGCGAAAACACCGTCTTTACAGTCGTTAACAAGTGCTTTGAGAGCTTTCTCGTTATCCTCCTGCCAATATTTAGTTATGTGCTTTAAGACAATGGATGCTCTTGCTGACCTTGGTGCTCGTCTTATCTTCTTCCTTAAAGCCATATTCCGGATCATCAAAATCTACGCCACTGCAACTTATTAGACCAGTTGGACAAAAGGGCGTCGGTGGCTTACAGGATGGTGAGTTGAATATTCGAATCGTTGATTTTCTTCGAAATGTCGCTCAGATCATCTCCATCCATTGGCCCTTGGCCATCAGTGATCAAGAAGATCTTTCGATTCCATTTGAGCTTCTTCGTAAAGGCGTCCATCATGTCAACTGCTACAACAATGGCGGAAACAGCATCTCCAGCCTCCGTGTTGCTTGGCTTCACCACAGATTGGAAATCTCTTAGAGATGGCATAGTCATTGGCCCCATCTCCCGTAGCACTGAAATGTTATCATAGCCTTCGTCGTCTTGCAACTTGTTGTAGGTCTCGTCTGTTCTTAGACCCAAGACGCCAACGCAGAGCGTTTTGCGGTTCGCCGCGACGACATCTGTGATCTTGTCCCATACATATTGCAAGGTCCAGTCCAAATCAGACTGTGATCTCCCGCTATGAGTCTGGGCCATAGTCAAGCCCAGATCGAGGATAAAGATGGTTGCCTCTTTTTCAGCCATGATGAGTTTCGTGTTTTGACTGGTACAAGCGATAATAAGGAAATAAACCAAATGGGTGGAGGGAGATGCGAGTTGATTTAAACGAACGTCAATCGTACAAAGCTTCTCAGTGGTAAACCCTTGTATTATTTAGGCAGAAGGCCTCTAGCTCAGAACTGCTGTCTAAGATGGAACGAGGGGCGCGATGCCTGCAGCTGAACGGAGGTGTACCTAGACGCGCGAAACACGAAATCACGTGCTGCCCTACATGTTAATTGAGATGACAGGTGCGACTCCTGATTAAACTTCGCAATACCTGCCTGGACAAAAAAGAAGAAAAGCCATGATTCCATCGATTAAAAAACATACTACGGACTGTGTTCTGCAATTAAAGTCGTAGGGTTAGAAACGAGCCCATGGAGCTCATACAGCTCTTGCATTGCTGACGGCAATTGGTGAAACGATAGATGTAACGATGCACATGTCAGCAAGTATCCGTCAAAAGAGATACAAACATGAGTAATTTAGCATCATTCCAGTATTTCTGTTTCTGTATAATCCCATCCGTAACAAGAACTTCAAAGTGATGTGGCCAGTCACGTGGTCTCCATTGTATCATAGACCAGGGTCGATGACCTGTCTACGTAGGTCCAGCTTAGAGAAACATACACCTCGGCTGAGTTGAAACATCATCTGTTTTCATCAACTCTCACTCACAAAGTGAAGCAAAACAGTAACAATGGCAAGCACAGCAAAGGCCGTGGCCTTGTCCCCGGCTCCCTATCATATCATCACGTAAGCTTCCTATCAGATACAACGAAATCAGTCAAGGATGAGTGAGCTAACTGGACGGCAGCTACGGAACACTTTTAGGAACGACCTTTTTCCACGTATGTACCCCAATGCTGAATCTAATTTTGTACTCAGATCTAACAAGTCGGCAGTCCTTCGTCAACGGCATCGTAGCGTTCAGGGCAGTCGATCGTGCCAGCTTCTCCGCCATCCAGCAAAAGCTCTTCCCCATCTACTTCGGCCTTCAAACTGTCCTACCCGGTGTTCTCGCTCTGACGTTCCCCGGAAACTCTCTGATTGGTCTTGCAAATGGTCCAGCTGGTTTGGTGTCGGAATTTGCCCGCTGGCACTCTTTGTTGCCTATCAGCGTCATGGGTATCACTGGTGCTATCAACCTGCTTGTTCTCCTACCAATGACTGTCGACATTATCAAGAAGCGACGTGGTCAAGGTATGTCACGCAAAGTATCATCAGTCTACCAAACCCATACTAATGAATTCATAGTTAAGCGAGATGGTAAGGAATACTACGCTGAGGGACCTCACTCAGACGAGATGAAGGCTCTCAACAAGAAGTTCGGCATGCTTCACGGCGTCTCATCTCTTCTCAACCTTGCTACATTTGTGGCTGCTATCGGATACGGTTTCACTTTGGGTGGTCGGGTTCTGTCCGTTGCGGACCTTGCTTAAACGGTTAATGATGAAGATGAAAGTCTTATTCATGCTCTAAAATGCTAGTGGTGCAAACAATCTTCCCGATAGCCTAGCGACTACTTTTCATCGTACAATAGCGAGAATCTATAGTATGTCTATTCGTTGTATCGTAATTCGTTGAAATATTAGGTATAGCTTTGAAAACATTGCGCCAAATGGTTGTCATGGGTTGTGAACCAGTATAGCTCTCATAGTGAACGTCTGGTGTTAAAAGACAAGCGCTGTGCTTTAAATTCGGAATGAGGCACGGAGCTCCTCCTTGGCCTTTTCAAAGTCTCGCTGACGCTGGGCCTTGGCCTCTTCTTCGCTGAGGGCCTTCTGTTGACGGCGCTGGTTGGCCTCCATTTGTCCCTTGATTGTCCAGCGGCCGGGCTGGCGATCAAGCATAGCCTCAACGTCGACATCTTCGTTGGGCTTGGGGAAGTCGGTGCTCAGAATAGTAGGTCTGCGGGTGTTGTTCTCAAACTCTTCAGCCTTGAGTCCAGGAGTAGAGATTGGGGTTGTTGCGGTAGACTGAGTCTTGTGCACCTCGCTGAAGTATGAGTTGGCATTGCTGGGGGCAGCAGCGACACTGGTGGGAGCGGTAGTCATTTTGATTGTTGTTTGAGAGGGAGATGAAGTATTTGTATGTTTTTGAGTGTTCCTCTTGGTTGATTGATATGAAGATAAGGGAGCTGTTGTATGTAGGTTTGCGCTTGTTTCGCTATGGTAACAGCACAAGAGATAGATCAAGATGAAAGGTTTAAAATATAAGAGAGAAAACTCAACTCCATGCGGTCTGTTCCTGTAGATATTTATAATTACGTAGGTATCCAGCCGGTCCGGTTTAAAACTTCATACTGTACTGCGTAGTTGTGTTAGTTGCTCTAGCAAGTGGAAACCCCTTTAGCTGATCGTGAAATGGGTCCCTGGCCGTGGAGACCTTGACCAACTTTAGCTTCAGGGTTCCCACGCTACCTCGCTTGATACGGGAAGTATCCAGAGCGGTGAATTGCACTTTGTATTCTCCTGTCTGTGTGTAGATGTCGGTCTGTTGATGCAGGCTATCTCGCCTCGGATGTAAGCGAGCCTAGGTAACCCAATTTCACGGGTAGAACCTGTTATCTTCAATATTAGTCAGGAAAAAAGAAGGAGAAAAAAAGTTTCAAGGGAAAACGTGGAATTCTAGAAACCCACCGATGACGAACAAGGTTGACCCATTACTCGCAAGGCAAAGTTTATGAGCCAATGATAAGATTTGCTTTAACTAAAACCGTTAAGGGACTAAAGATTTTCGACTTTGAGATTCTTTGCCACGCGGGAAGGGTCTGCGGCTTCCAGAGCCTACCTCGGACCAATTGTGCACTTTCGGCACATTAATCGCGACATGCATGGGCCGGATTATGTTGTCATTGCACTAAGAGTTGCCTATCAAGATGCAGGGTCGTTATCATCTGCATGAATCATCCTTGATAGACAGAAAACGAGTCGTAGTTATCCGAGGAGTTGTTCAACCAACAGTCGAGAGACTACCCTATATCGAGAAATCTCATATGTCGTGTCATCACAAGATTACTCGCAAATGCTATCAGCAGTGTCGTTACAAGCTTACTGTAATATTCGGGATGTCTTTTTATAATAAGTCCATTGATCACCGATTATCCAGCCTTATTGCATCACAAGTGATGTTATTCTTGTTATCTCTGACTAAGCACATCCACCGAGTCAGTCCGCTTTAGTTCGTCGACGATCAAGTTCATATTCAACCAACTGAAATTCTGGTCGATCATATTCACGAACATCATACAGTGTCTTTTCTGGTCGGGCTCATAGACAAAATGGTATCTTCACCAAAATACATCAGCAATGATGTTGCTGCCATCAACGAGTTCATTGACAAATTCGACGTGAGTCATTTATACACTGGCCGAGTATTACACTGACACCCATCAACAGGTCTTCCTCCTTGACTGCGACGGTGAATATGAACAATTCCCAAAATAACACAGTGGCTAACTTATGAAGGTGTTTTGTGGTCTGGTGATCATGTGTACGAGGGAGTCCCAGAGACCATCAACTTCTTGAGATCAAAAGGTTAGCTTGCTGTGCTCACGATCTAGACAAGAGACTCACACCAATATAGGAAAGAGGGTCGTATTCGTCACCAATAACTCCACAAAATCCCGCGATGAGTATCTTAAGAAACTCACTGGTCTCGGTATCCCTAGTGAGAAGGACGATGTATTTGGTTCCAGCTACTCTGCTGCCATCTATATTGCCCGTATCCTGAAGCTGCCTGAGGGTAAGCGCAAGGTCTTCATTATTGGAGAGTCGGGAATTGAGCAGGAGCTTGATTCAGAAGGCGTACCGCATGTTGGGGGTACAGATGAGGCTTTCCGACGAGATATCACAAACGACGACTTCAAGGGTATCGCTGATGGTTCCCATCTCGACCCCGAGGTTGGCGTCGTACTCTGTGGTCTTGACTACCACGTCAACTACCTCAAGTACGCCCATGCTATGCACTACGTCAAGAGGGGAGCTACATTCCTCGCTACCAACGTCGACTCTACACTGCCAATGCATCACAACTTCTTTCTCGGCGCTGGTTCCTGTCATATCCCCGTTGTCCACGCTACGGGACAACAGCCTTTGGCTCTCGGCAAGCCCAGCCAGGCCATGATGGACGCCGTTGAGGGCAAGTTCCAACTTAACCGAGCTCGCACATGCATGGTTGGTGACCGACTCAACACTGATATCAAGTTTGGAATCGAGGGCAAGCTAGGTGGCACACTGCATGTCCTGACTGGCGTGAACAAGAAGGAGGACTGGGAAAAAGAGGACGCCATCGCCGTGCCTTCGTACTATGCCGACAAGTTCAGCGATCTTAGACTGGCAAAAGAATAGAATAATATAGAGCCTTTGCATAGATATATTATAGAGAAACCACTGTTGAAATTACTGGGCGAGATACTGTTTACCACAGGGCATTGTTCACATACTTGCTTGTATTATTAGTTACTTGTATCATTAGGTAGTTACTTGATGGTTTTGGAGTCATCATTAGACTTTGAAAGCCAAAACAATCAAGTAACTAATAATCTAAGCAAATGTGTGAGAAATGCCCGGTGTTAAACAATATTTCAACAGTAGTATTTCAACAGTAGTTACAAAACTTCTCCTCCACTAGCAACCAATCCACGGGGAAGCCTTCGTTTGCACCTGAAGCTTCCCACTAAACCTAGTACAGCTTGCTACACGGAAATTCGCAAACTCACTAACCAAACCCATATATCTCGACCGTTGTGGTCAGTTGAAAAGTTGATCGTTAATCGCGGACCCTAGAATGGTTTGAATATCTTGATCGTATAAACTACCACTTCTAGGTTCATAATCCAGCGCGCATAACTGCTCGAGCGCATCGCCAACAGGAACGCCTTCTCCTCTTCCGTACAGCCAACCCCTTGGCGCAGCTTCCAATACAGGGCTCCGAGCTGCTCTTCCTTCTGGCACACCCATTTGATATCAGCCATTTGGTCCAGGTTTAGAAGGCACAAGGCCCTGCAACCGAACTGGGCTGTTGTACCGGTTGTTGTTTCTGTAGGTCTGAAGGCACAAGGCTCACCTGCACCTGAACGCCTTTGATATGAATATCTAAACTATATTCAAGCTTGCTTCTTGCTCTCGTTCTTCTTTGCAAGGTCGCTGGTTCGGATGACCTTGGGCGGGGGTGTCTTGTATGGTCGAAGAGACTTGGGCAAGAACATGCCAACCTGCTTCTGGTACTTTGGATACTCGGAGTACTTTCCCACTGTGATAATCTCGGTGAGCCAAGTTGAACCCTGGAAGAGCATGATCAAAGCAGCAGAGCCGGCAAGTGTGTAGCTGTACAGATTCTTGGTTGCATAGCAGCTCCACTGGTACAGGACAAACCAGACAAGCTGCTCAGCGGCAAAGTTGGGATGTCTGCTGTAGGCCCAGAGTCCAGAGGTGTTGAAGCCTCGGTCAAGGTCGGCCTGGGTGTAGCTGTACTCGCGAGGAACCTTAGCTTCGGCCTGATACTTGTGCTTGGCCGCATGGAAATCTGAATGCATTAGTTTTATTCACCTCGGAGATGGACGGATTACTCACCCCATTGCTGACCATCGCTAACCCACTCACTGTAGACCAGTCCGACCATGGTGAGAAAGAAGAAGATGTCAGCAGGGGCCACATTTTCTTCAAACTTGGTAGAGAGAAGGATGGCGTAAGCGGGAACGCATGAGAAACTGAAGAGCAGAACACTCTGGATGAATGAGATGAACGTGACATTGAAGATGAACCAGATGGGCCTTGGCACATATTTTTGCAGAATGGCCCTGGTAATTGTAAGCTTATGGATGGTTCTCAGTCGGCGATTAACTTACCATCGATAATCTTCAGATCCCTTCTCATAGCCACCCTTACGCCAGTAATTGTAGGTCAAACGGCACTGAGATGCAGGTCAGCAACGAATGCAGCGAATAAGGTGTAAAGTAACTCACACTCCAAAGAGTTGTAGCCAAAGAAATCAGATCCACTCGCGAAGAAGAGACACCAGCAAGACGTGCCCAGATGGAAAGGTGGACAACGTAAAGATTGGGGAGAATGGACCACATGCGGTCAACCTGGGAGTAGTTTCTGTTGATCTCCGAGACAACGAGAAAGGGAACTGTAAGGGCGACAGAAATTGCAAAAGCCGAGATGAGCGGGTTCGTGTCAACATACAACTGCCTTAGCCCATCCGGACTGACGATGTTGTCAAGAAACTGCCGAGGAAGAGCATAAAGTTGAGGAATGTACGGCTCAACAGCCTTTGCGTACTCGCCGCAGTCCTCAATGGACTTGAGATATGGAAGAGCCATGTCTGTTTAATCAGAGGAAAATATTGGTTGAAGATCGAATTTCCACTTGATCGTGGTGCAATACAAGTGGTGTTTTGATAGGTAATAACGACACAAACAACCAAAGCACAGCCCACGTCATAGACAGCATGAAATGTATGACACACGCCATTTCTATCCGGGCTTACAAGCCAATTACGCCTAAAACGCGCTACGCCGCAAGGGAAGGTCCCGTCTATTCTTGCATTCCTGGTTATTGCCTTGGTTTGTGGAGTCGCCAAAGTTTAGGAAATAGCTCCCTGTAAGATTCGGAAGCAGCCGCTGTGGCTAGTGGGTATGCCACTGAAGAGGCTCCATTGAAATTTCAACTTCAGTGATAGACATTCACTCTTTTCCCTCCTATGCATCGTGAATATCGAGTAATGTTCAGCGTTGGGGACGGATTTGATATTACAGCGTATTTCAACAGGAGGGAAACCGATGAGCACAAAAAGGCAGAAAGGCCTTGATTTCATGCAAAGAGCACTTCCTAATAGGATATTACAGCAAATCATTCCTACTGCAAAAGCGTGTTTGGCAGATTCTCGCTCTCTATATCGTGCCTGCCTCAGCGCAAAACTTCACCTCCGCATGAAACCTGAGGCAATCCTTCACTCGCTTCTTGTGATCACCTCAACCACTGAAAATCCTTCAATCGAGTACTAAAGCAGTGACTCTTCTTCTACTTAACAAACAAATCCAGAATGAAGGTCCTCTGTGTGGCTGAAAAGCCTTCCATCTCCAAGGCTGTAGCGACTCATCTCGCTGGAGGCCGTGTCGAAACAGTAAGGATATCTTACTCCCGACTCTCTGTACATCCTGTTCTAACTGTGAGTTTGTAGCACAATACGAGAAGCAAGTACATCAAGAACTACTCGTTCGATTTTGACTTTGGCCAGCAATTGGGCCACTGCTCCGTCAATATGACTTGTGTCACTGGTCATTTAACAAACGTCGACTTTACACCTGCGAACAAGAGCTGGTACTCGCCTCCTCCGGAATCGTTGTTCACTGCCCCAATTGTCACAACTATTAGCGATGTGAGTTCTCCTATCTTCACTCGACATAAATTTGTTGACGCTCTGTAGGATAAAAAGGTAATTGCCCAAAATCTGGAATCTCAAGCGCGATATGCTCAAGTCCTCGTAATCTGGACGGATTGCGATCGCGAAGGTGAACATATCGGCAATGAAATCGTCGAAGCTGCTCGAAAGGGCAAGCCGGGTATTCGGGTGTTGCGAGCAAGATTCAGCAATATTGAAAGAGCGTACGTTGTCCCCCTTCCTTTCCGGCCTAGATGGAATCTAATGATATCAGACATGTCATATCAGCAGCCAGGAACCTGACAACCTTGGACGAAAGGCAAGTCAATGCTGTGGCCACGAGAATAGAGCTTGACCTCCGAATCGGCTATGCTTTTACTCGCTTCCTCACGAATAACCTACGGCAGCTTGGAGGACCTTTGGAAAAAATGACCCTTAGCTATGGTGTGTGCCCAATGTTCAGGTCTACCTTGTCTGTTTTACTGACCGTTTAGGATCCTGCCAATTTCCAACCCTTGGGTTCGTCGTTGATCGTTATTTTCGTGTCAAAAACTTCGTTCCAGAACCCTTCTGGAGCATAAAGCTGACACACAACCGAGACGGTAAAAAGGTTGATTTCTCCTGGCTACGAAATAGGCTTTTCGACCGAATGTCTACCGTCATTTTGTATGAAAGATGCCTTACAGCAAAAATAGCAACCGTCATAAAAGTTCAGCAGAAACCTACTCGCAAGTTTAAACCCTTACCCCTTACAACCGTTGAACTACAAAAGGCTGCAACAAGGTTATTGCATATGAGTGGACAACAGGCCATGACTATCGCCGAAGGACTCTACAACAAAGGATTCATAAGTTACCCCAGAACCGAGACTGATCGTTTTGATCGAGGGATGAATCTCCGAACTCTGGTTGATAAGCAGACAACCGACCAGAGATGGGGACCATTTGCACAGAACCTTGTCAATGGTGTCTTTCAACAACCAAGAGAAGGGAGAAACGACGATAAAGCCCATCCTCCTATTCATCCTATCACGTATGCTTCTCCTACAGTCCTAAATCGCGATGAGGGTCGATTATACGAGTATATTGTCCGCCGGTTTCTTGCTTGCTGCTCAGACGACGCCAAAGGCATGGCATCTGACGTTGAGGTTGAATACGGAGACGAGCGTTTTAATGCCCACGGTGTTATCGTTCTTGAGAGAAACTATCTCGACGTGTTTGTTTACGAAAAATGGAACAACACTGTGGAACTACCAAAGTTCACCGAAGGAGAGCGTTTTCAACCTACAGAGGCTATGATGACGGAAGGCAAAACTTCAGCTCCGGGCTTCCTCACAGAAGCCGACCTGATCGCTCTCATGGATGCCAACGGCATCGGCACAGATGCCACCATGGCCGAGCATATCCAGAAGATTCAAGACAGAGAATACGCTGCTACAATAGGTCGATCAGGTGAAGCACCAAGAGGTGACGAGGAGTCGGACACAGGTCCATCCACAAGAGGGCGCGGTCGTGGCCGTGGAGGCAGAGGAAGCAGAGGTGGACGCGGTGGGCGCGGTGGTGCATCTACATCAGGAGGCCGTGGTGGAGTAAAAGTATTTGTCCCTACACAGCTTGGTGTAGCTCTCATTTTGGGATTTGATCGAATGAACTTCGAGACCAGTCTCGGCAAACCGTTTCTACGGAAAGAGATGGAAATCAAGATGAAGGCTATCTGCGACGGTCGTGCAAACAAGGAAGCCGTCCTACGAGAGAGTCTCGCTCAATACAGGCGTGTATTCGACCAGTCTCAGGAGCAACTGGGGGTTCTGCGAACGGTATGTGCCTGACTGCAACACAGACCTTGCTCTTCGTGCCACTGACTCTCGTCATCTAGGCTTGCCGTGAATTTGTCTTTACTTCGTGAGACTTTGGTCCCTCGGCATCCAGGGCACATGAACCCTTAGTCGATGCCACATTCACAAGGAATCATCGAGATATCTGGGTTTCAGTTGCCAACTTTGGAAGTTGACGATATGACGAAGGTAACCACACCCCCATTCCGTTTGTGGGTCGCGAAACTGGTGAGATCCAGCCTGACTTGGAACCTATCAGCCGGTGGATCATTCACACGTACGATCTGAATGATATGATTTGAGCATCACCAACAATGGCCTCGAAACATGGCGGCGGCATAATATATCAAACCACCCCTCATCAGTTGGAATACTTGGCAGCGGGGTTTATGCAGCTGTAACCATGTCCCAAAAAGTCAGTGGTGTAAGCGTGGCAGCGATGAAACTACCAAACCCGGCAATAGACAGGCGAGGCAGGGAGAGCTACTATGCGTCAACCACCTGGCTGGGAACATATGGATGAGGTCTCTCACTGCGGAGGATTCGGAGCGGAAGAGACCGGGACCGTTCACGGCACGGGAGCCACACTGGACTTAATCATCCCCGCACGACACGATATCTCGTAGACTCGGGCAAGAGCGCGGGGCAGCGGGATTGATAGTGATTCCGTCTCTCTTCCGTTCTTCCTTCTTGATGCGCGGGGAAGCGCCCTTTACACGAGACGTCCACGGCGTAGCAATGTCCAACGTGGGGTTCATCAACCGACAACGGGCCACATGTACTTGAAGACGAATTCCCTTAGTTTGATAAAGTGTGTGAAGAGAGGAGACTTCAAAGCCGTTCACTGGCCGATGCCTCCACAGCCGAAACGAACTTCCTGCTGAGCGACAATAGTATCTGGGGAAAGGTGACGAAGTAATGCCGGTAATATTGTCGGCACCGCAAGTCCAATCATAAATAAGGACCTTGGCAACGTGACAATGGCACATCAAGGATGACGGCTTTTATTAGTACTCAACTGGACATCTTGCACAACCAATCAATATTTACAAGAGAGAAAGGACGCGAATACCTCCACGAACCCGTACTCAATCACCACTAACAATATGAAGGTTCCGAAAATGGCAATGATTACGTTGGATTGGCCAGGAATCGTTTGCATGAAACGAAAATAGACTACAATAGGATTTCGAACTTCATCAATACCAACAGTCTTGCTTGCCTGTGTATTTCGGCCACGCCGGTGAATGAATAATAATGGTGGTGTCCTGCTTTTGGAACCATCATTAGGGTTATTCGCTTCAACAACGCCTGCCAGGTCACAAGAGGACCATGACTTGATATGAAGCGATTACACCAAGGCCAAGCCAAAGATTGAACTGTATGAGCAAATCGTCAAAAAACGGTATAACGGGAACAAAAAGTGTGCCCATGACTTGAATATGCTTTATAGCTACACGCCCCCATCGCGATACAACACGGGATGCCACAGTTGGGACGGGAGGCTTGAGTTTGTCGGGTGTGTGCCTGTACATGCTTCTAGCCCTACACACTCGCGAATAGAGGGTTTGAACACGCAGGTACGCACAATATGATTTTTCGAGAATTTTGATTCCATTCCTTGCTCTCAAGTCTCCTTTCCAAAGGACCAAGGGCTCGCTAATAACAAGCCGGACGAAATTAGGGCATGATGCTGGAGATTGGGCCGTTACTGGCGGATCAGAAGCTGGCCATGACTCTGATATTCCCAGTCAAGGAGGGACCCCTTACCCCTGTCGATGAAAGCGAAATGGGTCCGCTGATTTCTGGGTAAGGAGTCAAAGAAAGCCATACAAAGAACGATCATGGACATAAAGAATTGCATGATTTCATGGCTAGCTCATAGTTGAATGTGCCTGCATTATTCTTGCATGAGACGGGTGAATGCAGGTATTATAAACGATCCGCGTTGGTTCCATGGATGTCCCTGAGATGCATGTCATGACGACCACGTTTTCGAGCAAGAAGCCGGATACAATGACGACGATGACTTTGTTTTTCAGTTGAGTCATCATTTCGATGAATCAACCATCAATTTCACACAGCTGGCATAGTTTTTGGTCTCTCCTTTCTTGTGATTGCGATAAGTGGATGGAATGCTGGTCATTTTCATCTGGTTAAGGTTGTTGAATCGCCAACAGCCACGCATTAAACTCCAACAACCTTACCCCAATCTCCTGGACCACGGGGCTCAAGGTGTTGGCCGAAAGAGAATATGGTGCTAAATATCCTACGCGCTAAAAGTGACACCAGGATAGTGACAAAGAAGCGACTAACAAGGTAATTAATCCCCAGACTATGTGAAAATTGGAGACTGGGACAAGAGATCAGAGCCAGCCATCGCTGACACGAGCTCTGTCGCTCAACTGCTTCAAGCTGAAGCACAGTACTATACTGTACAGTACGATGACGATCGATACTGGTACCGTGTTAGTTGGACGCGCCGTCCCGGATCTTTGGAAGGCCTAAATGCCCCGACTCCCTCCGCTTCAAACGTTCAGGCTCCATTGACCTTTCAAGCTGCCGCACATGATGGACTAACTGGCAGATCGCGGTGTAGCTTTTTTATTCTTGTGTATAAGTACACCGTAACCGTCTGGCATCAGGAACTAGAGCAGAAGACTGGAGCCGGACCCGGACCCTGGGCTGTCTTTGATCAGAGCTGTTTACTTTTCGTCCGCTATTACTAGTTGATGGAGTAATAGAAAGAATACCGTCTTTTGTGAACCGGAAGTTGAGCCGACACTTGAACGGCATGCATGCTAATGTAAAGCAGCCTGACGACTCTATATGGAATAGAACCACCCGCGGAACTCTGGAAAGAGAGTCAATAGCGAGGCGCCCGAGCCAGATCGTGGACGCTGCGCTGAACCAAGCTGGAGTCCTGCTGGAGCCTGCTGGGGTGTCAAACGGCAGTCCCATCTCGTTTGACCTTGTCCGGCTCGCTTCCCCGTTTACCGCTATGGCCCGGATCCTCTCGTCTCCCTAGACTACCAGCTTCTTGGGAATTGGAATCAAATGAGAATAACACAAAACAATTTCAACAAGGGCCAGCGAAGCAAAAAACAAAGAAAAGGACCACTTTTAATTGTGTATTTAGCATGGAAGAAAGAAAAGAAGTGCGGTGGAATCTGAAAGAAGGCGTACAAGCATGGATGGGTGCATACACTGCAGATTGAGAGGGAGGGAGGTGAGTTTGTTGGGTTCTAGGGTTCTTCCATCTCGCTATGGTTTGGGATGGTTGTCTCAAATGTGGTAGAAACAAGTTATCACTTCGCTGCCTACAGTATCAATTAAGTATCATTCCCCTATCAACCTTATCAGCTGCTGGCTGAACAGCCACAGTTTGCACTCCAACGAAACATGGGGGTGACACCCAGTAATTGACGCCTGGCCCGTTTTGGGCTGAACTTGGTGGTGTTTGGAAGGTGTGTTTGTAGTAACCATGGAAGTAAGTGTCTACACCTGATAGTGCCAAATTTGCACCCGGCATCCTTTCACTCTTACGGTACACTCCCACCCGACTGTTGCTTACAACATTCGCCCCCTGGTATTCTGCGCCTATCGCTCAGCAAATGCACACACACGAACAGCACCGCCCTACAACAGGTGCGTGCGAGAGTAGGTGCTGCTTTGGCGATACAATACCATACCGCCAATACAAGTGCAAGTCCGATCGAGTACGTACCTATTACCTGGCTGGGTTGGCTAGGTAGGTACGACTCACACCTCACACGGGTTGGGTTCACCTGCCCTTGGCTTGTTGTAAGTTGGTGGTGGTCATATATCCTTCCAGGTTTCCCTCCTGTCCGGTTCCTTTCTCTCCCCAAACACCAACAACAACACCAAAGGAACATCAAGATTCGTATTAGAGTCTCTTGTCACAGTCCAGATCATCGCGCCAGCTCTGCCCAGGCCTGCCATACTATCGCCATATTTGTGCCAGCAACTTTGTATTGCCAGCCCTCCTTACATCCGGCTTCTGAATAGGTACGTACCGCACATCTGATGCAGCGCGACACCCTATTGTGACTCAACCACGATTCTCATATCGCCTCGTCAAGCACTGCATGACGAAACTCGCGTCGCGAAATACAGACCTTTCTCAAGATCAAAATCGCTAACCATATTTTTCCATTCGCAGACTCGTTCTTTCAGAAGCGCATACCAATAAGACCGACATCGGTAATCATGGCTACCATGGCAGCGGCTGCTCGTGATATCTCCCAGGCCTCCTTGAGCCGAGACAACTTAGCTGTTGTAGCGGCCCGAGGCGTCCCTGCGACTGTGACACGCTCTCAACAACCCCTCCCTACTCCCCCCAACTCCATCTCTCCCAACCTGCCGCCTCACGGGCTTAAGGCGCAGCTCCAGAAGGCCAAGCTTGAGCCTATCGACTCAGACCTGGACCTTCACGAGCCTTCGGATCGACGACGATCGATCTCGCCAGCCCTCGAGGCCTCGGGTGCCATTACTGGCTCTCTCCTCGCCAAATACCACTTGCCAGAGATCCTGCTCAGTCATGGTCCCTTGGCTATCCGTCATATTATGGGTTACCTAACCACTTCGGTACCCGGATTCTCGGGAATCCCTCCAACAAAGGCGCGGAGACTAGTCGTGGGAGCTTTGGAAGGTCGAGGAGGAGAAGGCGGTGGACTGAACGGGGAGGTGGAATTTGAAAAGGTGGGATGGGGCCGCTGGGATGCTCGTAAGCGAGGGGAGCCATCTCGACACCGACAAGGTACTCCTCCATCTTCTTATGGGGCCGGTATTCCTATCAACAAGAATGGCGGTCGGGGTCAAGGCCGCTACCGACAAAGCACTGCATCAAGCAATGGGGATTCTGTTCAGTTTTCCCATGAGGACCACGAAATTTACATGATGGAGCATGAAGCCGATAAAATGTCCATGGACGGATCCGGGTCCGCTTCGTGCTCTGAAGCTCCTGATGATGATGTCGTCATGAACGACGACCCTGAGGATGCGACTGATGATGAGGATTGGGCCACAATGGGAGCTGCTGCTCTCCGAGCAGAATCCTACCCCAACCCGGCAGCGGCTCAGATTGAGCAAGGCTTCCGATCCTCTTCGGCTTATGCACCCGGTGCGCTTCGTTCGTTCTCCGCCAGCTCCGGCATGGCACGCACACCGCAACCCTTTAACATCGACTTCTCGGCGTTTGCGGGTCCCTCTGGCGCACAGGAGCGGGAAGCCGTTGAGGCTCTTCTGCAGCTCGGTGCTGTATAATATTTTTCTGCATCAAAGGCGTTTTTTTTTTGGCTTTCGGCATTTTCGAAAGCAATCGTTTTGGGGCTGGTTGGCTCAAGGGAGGTCGTGTCGGCCCACATCCCTGACCGAGGCGGCGACCTCTGGATCATTATTTCTCTCACGATGACACGGCTTCACGTTTTTGTTCGGGCTATACGCTCTCTTAATATGGGCTCGGTTTTTTGGCGTCTTGGTACTCGGCGGTATCTGGTCCACAAGACAGATCATCGTCGTCGACTGCGAAAGGTCAGCAGGCGGGCAACACTCCCAAGATATACACAAACCGAAACTTTTCGGATGTGTATCACTGGAGTTCTTCAATACTCGGGTTTATTTCTTTTTATTGAGGGGGACACAAGTCGTCGAAGCTTTGCCTTCTGTCACTTGAATTCCTGTCGCTCCATGGGGGCTTTCGTTTCTAGCCCCAAGGCGCATACTTATGCCGGGAGCTTTGGTTCCTGAGCGACACGACAACACCCTTGATGGGGAGGGCTGGTCTCCGATGTTGAGTCGTCTCCTTGGGGTATTTGTTTTTTTTACAATACCCAGTCAGCCCAAGTTTTTTGGCTTTTGCAACATACATAACCGGATCTTACCGCTTCAACAGGAGGATCATGACGACGATTATTTTTATACCATTTGTTGTGGGTAGTTGCAGCCAAATTTTTTGTGCCTCGTTTTGCAACCTTCTCGATTCTTTGTTTAATCAACTTTTTTCATGGGCATTTGAGGCGGGGAGGGTACGCATCAACATCAGATAGAGAGGAGGAAAAGGGTCGAACAAGTCATCTTGGATGGACCCTTTGGCACCTGAATGGGATATGAATATCATGCTTGGAACTGATTGGGCTCGAACACTATATGCTCGCCCTCGTCTTTTGTTTGCCGAGGGCACAAAGACTGAAAAAAGGAGTAAAATCATATTTGGCCAGCGAGGGGATTTACATAGCTTCCGGTCATTAGTACACACAAAGCTTTGCAAGCTTTGTCAATGGAATCTTGAATCTTTTCCTGCCAACAAAAATGTTAACAATATTGATTGCGTGAACGTTGTGAAGAACGAGCGAGGTTGTCGGTGTGATTCGGTTGAGAATGGTGCATGAGTCTCAAAATCGGTTGGGAAGTACTTTTGTTGGTGTTGAGAGAAACTGAAGTGAAACAAGCATTTGACGATGTCATGTAAAGACAATCAAGGGCCTCTGATTGGAAACCATAGTTCAAGATATTCACCAGTGGTGTTTCATTTTTGCACAACTGAAAGTAAATCGAATTTGAACTGACAGAGTTTGCATTCGCATTAAGTAATTGAGGAGAAGTGAAGTCATCCGATCGTCGTCACGTGATATACATCATGCTGAATAGGTATGATGCTTAATCTTATCAAATGTACTAATAACTCTCTTATTTTCGCTTTACTTTATTCATTTGTATAATCTTATCCTTAAACCCACTGCTTCGTTTTTGTTGTGGCGTATCTTGGTATGCCTTAGCACTATAAGAAGGTCAGGGAGTTCATATAGGAGTGCAAGATGTTTAAATGAAGCCAAAGCTTTGAGAGTAGAATCGTCCGTAAGAACATGCCATAGTAAATGGAGACCTAAGACCAAGTTCGCCTATTCTTTCGGGTTCTTCTGGACGCTACCGGTATGCAACTTGGCACGGGGAATTGAGAGTGTGTATACCCTGCAGTGTGAATGATAACCCTGAAGCTCCAAGCTCTGGTGTCAGGAAAAGCCTCTCCATGAGCATACATAGCAGTGGTTATCGATTCCAAGATCCCTGGGAATGCCTCCAAACGTTAAGATAACTCTGTATCATTAGTAGGGGTCGTTGCAGCTTCTTAGAACCCGCGGACTTCTTTAGAACCGGGACACAAGATCCCATAACTTTGGCCCGTTCTCGCTTGTTTCTTGAAGCCGTGTATGCAGTCGAAACTTGTGGGGATATACTGCTATGGTTGCTGCCCTTTGCTTTGAAGATGCACCATATAATAACAACGTGTCCGAGACCATGATCATCGCCTCTTTGATTAATCACTTGATCACTCTGACGAAAGAACGTATGTACCGATGTAAATACGTCCCATTCTGCCTCGACCTGACATGTCGTACTCCTTACATTTACCATCGCAAGGGAGGGTTTTCTCGTAACAGAATACAACTTTGTGCATATACATTGGCTGATAATCAACGGGAAGACGGCAAAGGCTGCTAATGTTTTCTTTCATCCAGCGATCCATCTCACCAGTCGGATTCGTTTCCATCGATCGCAAGGAAATGCCATCATGCCAAGGCGACAAGCATTGACAATAGCCGCTGTTCTCCAAGTTCCCGCGGGCCCCAATCGTACGAGGACTTGGCTATCAAGGCTCGGCGGTCTTGGCTGCAAAGCTTGAGAGCCATAGACATTGTCCACAAGACCCAGCCCAGCAAACAATATTACTGTAAGAAGAACTCTGGGCATAACTCCTCTACCATCACAAGACAAGCACTGCTTGGCCTTGCACTGCCACGTTTGTCGTCATCTCCAAGACCTTGGCGTAGAGAGGAGTGGGGTTCTTGGCTTTCTGGGCGGTTGCTTGGCTTTGCTTGGCTGGAAGGTATTGTATCATGATTCTTGGCCTGGGGTAGAGGATTAACAGGGCAGGAGGAGCTAGAGAGGGGAAAGGGGGGTTATTGATAATGGATGTTTGCTTGGCTGATGTGTTGAGCAGTTATCTGATAGTGTGATATCCGTAGAGCCGATGTTGATGTTGTACAACAGTGTGTGGTGGTTTCCTAGATGGCAACTCAGTGCAACCGCCTGCCTTGTCTGTGTGATAATATGATGCAGCCTCGGACACTTACCGGTTTTATTCTTCAACTATTATCTGGGCATTATACCGCGCTGCACAGCCTGACAGGACGGTATAAATCGTTAGCTGCAAGGCCCGTTGCGGCAACGATATCCTCGGAGTGCATATCTTTCTCGGCGCGTCTAGCAAAGACGGGAGGCTATCTTGGAAGATAGGCATGGATAGATGGGATCAGTATCAAGTTTGCGGCTTGTTCAGCATATATATTTGCATGCTGTATGTTGACTGGACGAAATTCGTGGCGTCGGACAATAACGGTCGCATATGATACTGTTTTGTTGAACGTGCGTGTAAATATGGGGTACGTTATCAATAATAATTGTCAGGAAAGTGATGATCCGCATGCAGGTCAGATACCCATGAGGTGAACTTTTGTCGCATTTATAGTGGCACTTAATACTAATTACTACTGACTGATATAGTGATCTTCCAGTAGTGTTTTGAAGGAGAACGTCACAGTAAAGTTTATCTTGATGGTTGCACTTGTACTGCAAAGTTTAGGCAAAAAGAAGCATAATTGAAATAAGGAATTCATTAACAAGGGGAAAACGTGGGCTTGGCTCTTTTTCCTGATGCTTGGCAAGCCAAGAAAAACAAGAAGCATTTGGAGGCTTGGCTGATGGAGTTTTCGGAGACGCCAAGTCTTCTTGGCAGCCTCGATTAAGATTGGGGCAGTTGGGACTTGGGCTTGGCAAAGGAAAAGTCTGGGCGACAAGAACAAATGAAAGAAGGTGACGAGTCTTTGCGGAGAATGGGAAAATGCACGGAGAAAAAAGGGAAAGCTTGAGTTGTGTAGGTGCCCGGCTTGGCTTAACGTCACTAGCGGACCAGGTATTGATTTGGTGGTTCTAATTGGTTATCTCGTTTGTAAATCAGTGAAATGACAGTGCAACCAACAACCAGGACAGTTGACTAATAACGTTTCCAACTCCTTATTCATGACTTTCTCTACTCTCTATTGCTCAATTAAACTTGCGTGCTTAATTTGGTCTCGGCGTCGGCCAAGCCATGGAAAGTAAAAAGCAACTCCCCAACTGACAATCAATAACCTGGAAATAAACAGAACCTGACCTATTCCGGCAGAAATGATCACCACTTTTGTTAGCTGACTACCTGACGGATACAGTATTGACAATCCCTTCCTTGCCTTGTCTACTACCTTCGGGTCTAAATGATTCCCCGATAGATCCGAAACTTTCCCTGTCCTTTTTTCTTTCTGTTTGTTATCAATCACTCATCAGCCACTTTCTGCATGCAGCAGAATGGATTGTTGTTGATGCGCATTAGACTTACCTGAACCCCCTTGAAACCGAAAACCCGTCTGATATTTCTTGCAGTAAAATCAAGTAATGTGAGGTGACCAGAAAGGGTGTCAGGTCAGAAGCCGAAGTGCCCCCATGGCTCAGGTGACGAGCGACAAAACACTTGACGCAGTAGGTGGCCAGCTTGTGTGAGGCCCAATACAGCCAAGACCAATAGAAGCGACGCGATGAGGGGCAGTGCCCAGACTGCCAAGACTTGGCGGTCTTGGCACCGTTCCCTCCGCTGTAGAGAAGGAGTATATCGGGTTAGATGTACTTAAATCCTTTAGCTATCATTGTAACAAATCGCGTACCTTTCCGCCATAGGTACATTGTCATTATCGCCAAGACCGCCAAGACTTTCCGCTCGTTCTCATCCTCTTGCCCAGTCTTTTGCGTAAATGTAAAGGGAGCGCATTCCCCCGTAGCTCTTTTATCAAAGTGAATTCTTCTTTGAACATCTCTCTCATTTCATTCAATCTATATCAATCAACTTTTGTCTTGCTTCTTTCGTTGCAAGTTTAGTTGATTCTTATCTGCAGAGACGAGTCCAGCCCTGCCGTACCTGCCTGACTAGTCTCAGCCAGTCAGTCTTTTAACTCGCCACCGGGCATAAGCGCTCCTGGCTTCACCAGATATCACATATTCCCGCCCATCATGTCTCCTCCAGTCCCTGAGCAGAAGCCTCAGCTTCCGCAGCAGCAACAACAACAACAGCAACAACAGACACCACCAGGAGAGTCTACATCTGGCAGTGCTAGCAACGACTCCAAGTCTGTGACTCCTGCACCCAGCTCTTCCTCCAACACCTCGCAAGGCAGCAGCGGTGCATCAACATCAAACGATGACAACCTTATCTGCCGATGGAACGCTTGCAACCAAAAGTTCCCAGCTCCCGAGGCTCTCTACGTAAGCAATCATGAGCGCAAGAATGAATCAAAACTGACCTTTAATAGGAGCACATCTGTGAGCGCCATGTTGGCCGCAAGAGCACAAACAACCTTAACTTGACTTGCCAATGGAACTCATGCCGAACTACCACTGTCAAGCGTGATCACATCACTTCTCACATCCGTGTTCACGTTCCTCTGAAGCCTCACAAGTGTGAGTTCTGTGGCAAGTCTTTCAAGCGTCCCCAGGACTTGAAGAAGCATGTCAAGGTAAGAAAACCCATCTCATCCACCGTGTAATTCTCAAACTCACCCAAAACAGACTCACGCCGATGACTCTGTGCTCGTCCGGTCAAACCAGGATCCCCAAGGAGGACTCAACTACAGGCCACAGGCTCCCAAGGGTATGTCTCTACACGATTCCAGTCCACGGCTGTGGGCATCCGGATTTTCTTCACTCGAGGCTAATTCGCCTCCAGGACCTTCCAGCTACTATGACCACACCGGCCAGATGCGAACTAACCCAGCTGCCTTTGGACACCACCAGGCCCATCCCAGCGGTGGTTACTATGCTCCTCAGCCTTCTACCAACTATGGTCTTTACTTCAACCAACCGCCTATCAATAACGCCCGTACCGAGCATCTTGGCTATACTGCCGCCGCCGGTGGTTATGATCGTAAGCGCGCCTACGATATGGTTGATGACTTCTTCGGCAGCGCCAAGCGCCGCCAGATTGACCCTTCGTCCTATGCTCAGATTGGCCGCTCGTTGATGCCCCTTCACGGCAACCTGTCCGTCCCCAACGGCCCTATGGCTGCTACTGAGCAGTACATGCCCCAACACGCCCCAGCTCCTGTTCACGCCGGCCCATCGCCTGGTCAGAACCCCTTGGCCCAGCAATACTACCTGCCTATGCCCAGCGCTCGCACCCAGAAAGACCTCATCCACATTGATACCATCCTCGGCCAGATGCAAGACACAATCTACGAGAACGCCAGCCATGCCACTGCCGGCGTCCACATCCACCACACTGAAGGTGGCTACAACGGTTATCGCAACACTCCTTCGCCTCCTACCGCACACAGATCCCCCACTGGCATGCACGTTGCGGCCGATGGTTACCATCCCGTGTCTGCAGCTAGCATGGCTTCGCCTCTGACAGCCATCTCCTCTACTGGCACTCCTGCTGTTACACCACCCTCCAGCTCCATGTCCTACACTTCTGGCCACTCACCAAGCCCATCATCCTCAGCTATGTCTCCTGACTCCAGACACGGCTCAACAGCCTCAGTCATGTACCCCACTCTCCCTACAAGCCTTCCTGCTGTTAGCCAGGGTTTCGGCCACTCTGCCACAACCACTCTCGGCCCTAGCTTTGATGGCAGTGAGCGTCGCCGCTACTCTGGAGGTATGCTTCAGCGGGCTCGCGGTCCTCTGCCCCTGCCTCGTGAGGATACAAGCGGTGCCTCTACTCCCAAGGCTAGCGAGTCTGCTCTCTCCGTTGGCTCTCCCTCTTCAGAGTCTGATGTCAGCGATGCTACACGCGAACGCGAGGAGCAGTATGACCGCTGGCTCGAGAACATGCGTGTCATCGAGACGCTCCGTGAGTACGTCCGCGGTCGTCTCGAGCGCAAGGAGTTTCTGGACGAGAATGAGGCCCGGCGACCAAGCCACGCTGACGCTATGGACGTCGACCCCAAGAGCCCTCAGCCTCAAAGCCGAGATCTCGGTACCCCTCGCGAGGGATCCTCGTTGTACCCCATTCTTCGCATGCCTGGCTCTTAGATTTCCCATCTATTTAGCTGCTTGCTTTGCTTTATGTGTACTATATTCATCCTTCGTTGTCTGTTGCATCGGGGCGATGCAGCGTATCATGTTTTTCATGCGGTTCTCTCGGGTCGATATACTGTTTGACCAAGAGGTTTCTTGAAAACCAAGTACTGGTTTATTCTTGTCGGGTCAGAGAACAGGTTCATTTTCACGAACAATGGTTCAAAGGCTTGTTTTTTTCTTCTTTTTATCACGGCTGTTTCTTCTGTTACCGGCAATTGTCGGACACACTCATGTTGTCAATCTTTGACGGGTTATGAAATATAGGGAAAAGGTGGTCAGGGTTTAAGTTACGATAGCTAGGATCTCAGTTATCCACGAGGCACAAATTCAAAATGTTATTGAATCATCTTTCGTGTTCCGAGAACAATTTGACTGTCGTGTATCTTGATTATGTCCCTGTTGTCACTTCTGACCACTTAATTTGAATGAAGCATTGCCAACACACCCACTTATTCGGGTTGTAAACGCTATGAGCATTGCATCGCTCGTCATACGAGTAGTCAAAGAATATGACGCAGTGTACCTGCATGCATACGCACTCCTAGACCAAATAAACAAGACTAACAAGTTTTCTCCGAACGACAGCCCCGTTCGCTCCAGCACCAGACGATCGCTGTATCTAGAGTCCCGTGCTCCCTGAGGCTGAAGCTGAAGCAGCGATCTCTAGATTCCTTGTCACAGCACGTAGCTAACTCAATAGCAGGGGCATGCGCTGCCGATCTTTCTCGAGGCCGCCCGCCCAAGAAACAAGACAACACTGGGAAAGGCCAGGCTGTACTACCGATCTATGATGCATAGCAGTTTCTTGTATATGGGCATATTGCATAGTATCGTTTTTGGATTGTGCCTGTCATGTTTTGCTTATGGTGTTGTAGCCTATCTCGTGATGTCGCTTGTTTCATAGACATAGTTAACCTGAGTGTGTGGGAAAAGGAGTACAACAATGTTATTTCGTTTACAACGGCCCGTCGGAAGTTGTGCCTAACCGTTGAACCGATTGTAAATTGCATCCTTCGCCAATGTAACTGTGTATCAAAGCTTAAACTTCACTACAGCCTGAAGAGCAACGGCACATCGACTTTTCTCATTGATGTTTTCTTCGTCGTCAGCGACTAAATTAGTTAGCTGGAACTGCAACGTCTGCCCAGAGCGTAGCATCTGAAACAATCCGGGTGAAATAAATGATGAGGAGATCAACGCACAGAGCATTTAGAGTCTGCTAAAGAAAGAACAGAAAGTCTCATATAGATAACAACCTCGGCCGTAGTTCTTCACTTTAAGGTAAACAGTAAGCTTTGGCGTTGAGGATTAAGAGAAAGTTAGTTTCACCAGATGGCTGACCCTCCCAATCCTGCAATCTGCCAAGAGCGCTTTGATATCATCGAGTATGCTCATCTGTGCCGTGTGGGATGTTTCTCAGAACGAAGGATTTAGGATTTGACTGGGTTTATTACGATTGTCAGAGATGCAGTTTCCCGAAGTAAATTGATCACCGACCAGGGAAGGGACAGGACCGTTTCATCAGCCCGTCACTGTTGCCCGGTTTTTGTTTTGTTCTAAAAGTACCTCTGTACTTAAGAACCTTATTGCTCGACTGAGGTGAGAGGGTAATTTCTTTATATCACTGTCCTATCCTACTTGTTCTCCTAGTTTCTCTTGGTGATTCACGAGCAAACAAAGACCATTGTTCACGCACTCTCTTCACTTACACTGTCACATATACACTCTCTTCCTTCTCATTCCCACCCTCAGTATAAACAACTCTTTACCTCGAGAGTTTTCTTCAGAAAGACAAAAATCCTCCATCGAACAACCTTTCATCATGCGCTTCTTCGCTGCCGCCGCTCTCCTCCTCAGCAGTGTCGCCCTCGCAGCGCCTGCTCAAGAACAGACAAAAGACTGCTGCTGCTGCGATATCTCCCAACCCGCCTTTGTCTGCGAAAAGAACGTCAAGCCCGAAGACTGCATCTGCGCTGCTGTCATGTGCCCGGTCAACGCTCCCACCTACTGGCCTGCTACAGCTACAGCTACAGCTACCGCTACTCCTACAACCACTCCCACAGCCACCGTTGTCAAGCGACAGGAAGACAAGAAACCTGCTACGACTGCTCCTACTCAACCACCCTGCTGCTGCTGTAGCTTGGCTGACCAAGCTATCGTCTGCGAGGTGCGCCCCGAGGGCGCTGACAACACATGTGTGTGTCCTAAGGTGATGTGCCCTGTTGGCGCGCCGACTTTAACGACGACCGTGGGTGCGCAGCAAACCGGAAACTAGATTACACACAATTCGTTGAAAGGGAGACTCGGACGGGGGCGCTATAGTTGTGCTTTGACAGCTTGCAACGTTTGCTTTTCGTCTTTACTTATTGGTATAATGCGTTTGAGGACTTGGTTCATGGGTGGGATAGCAGAGCATGATTTCTGAGGAGACGGGAATGAAGAAAGTATAAGAGTCTCTCGAGAGATCCTAAAAGAATTAAATAACTATCAGTTAATAACAATCATATCCCATTGCTCTATCGTTCAGAGTACCGTTTGGTGTAGTGAATGTTAAACGGACCATGTCGACACTTTGTCATAGTTTATGTTGTGTCCACCGTAGCGACGACGAAAACACTGAAATTGCTTCAAGTCCAAATAGGTATTAGCTTAATGGCTTGGTACGTATGTAGACTTACAAAACTTGGATGTTCCTATGTTTCTATTCCAAGATCCAGGCTGGAGGATCCCCCAGACACGACGACCAATCAAGGGGCTTGGTCTTTGAAACGCTCGATGGAAAAGGCAACCTTACGAATGTATTGATGTCGCATTACTACCTTTGCGGCTAAAGCCAAGCCAACATCCCTTGAAACGTCACCGTACCTGGCCATCTCTCAGTCACTAGTGGTATCATCGGAAAGTCAAAGCATGGTAGGATAAGAAATTATACACTATGGACTATCAACTAGAGTAGTTAGAGATAGATATAGATATAGATGGTTGCTACTCCAAGGTGCGCCATGTGTCGTGTCCCCAAGGCCCAACCCCATAGAATAGATATAAGAATTGCTAAATGTGTTTTGCTTTGGCCCATGCATCCATCAACTGCCAGAGTGATCCAAGGCCTCTCCTCGGGGTGCACTACCACCCCTCTCCAACTCTTTTCAATAACTGATTAAGCCCTTCTCTCAGACCTTGGACCATGATAGCGTTGTAGTAATTGTGCAAGTCGGCTAAAGGGAAATCGAGATATGCAAAAGTATGATGGGGGAGGGATGGCCACTGATAGGTAGCAATGCGAAAAATTAGACCGCAGCGTAAACGGGTATATAGTAACGGGTCATGAAATTGCCGTGACTCTCCGGTTGCTGAATGGCAAGGTCGAGCCATGAAAGGCGGGTTAATTCGCTAGTTTTTGTGTGAGAAAAAGTTCCCAAAAAGAAGAATCGTATTCAAAGCTTTGTCGTGACAAAGTCGTCCAGACGGGTCGAAAAAGCATCGCCGGCGACGGTTGGAAAGAAGAGAAGCAACAAGTGGGAAGCATCTCTTTATTGGAATTGAGTACGGTCCTTCTCCTTAAGACCGCCGATCTGATCCATGTCGATCGAGTAGAACTGACCCTTGGCCTCCTTCTCGTAGGCAGGGAGCTGCTCGTCGTTCATGGGCTCAAGGCCAACAGCGGAGTTGTCGCCAACACGGACAACAAGCACGCGGCCGTTCTGCTGTCGGCCTTGGTCGTCCTGCTCATCAGGGAAGGTGATGTGAATCTCTGGGACGTTGTCGGGGGAGTAGGGAGGAGAGTTGGGGTTGGCAAGCATAGGGCGACCGTCTTGGTTGATAACGAAAACGCTGGAGCGACCGTTGTGCGTTGTCTCGATGGTAAGGCCGCGGTGGTTGGGAAAGCGCTTGCTGTCGCTATCGTAGTAAGAAGGTAGGCCGTCCTCTTCAGACTTGATGGCAGCAGCCTGCTTCTGAAGACGAGCGCGGCGGAAAAGGAACAGAATGGCAACCAGAATAAGACCGAGGAAGACAAGGCCGAGAAGGCCAAGCATCAGGTTGATCATGCTGTCATCTGAGCCATTGGAATCCGCAGGCATATCGGATCGGGTAACAAGGTTGAGAATTGAAGGCATCGTGAATAAAGTTTAAGTTTTAATGTTATGTGGTACGGCAGCGAGTGTTCTGAGTTGGCGATAACGATGAATGCTCCGTGTATAGAGAGAAAGAATGTCAGGCCGATTACGTCTATACATCACAATGTTAGCGAACCATTTCACGGCAAAAGAGCCACCTTCACCGGCGAGAGCGATTCAGTCCTGCTGTGGCGGTCGTCAAGTCCATCTGCAACGCAGCCTCCAATATTGTAGCCAACCGCCATTCCGTACAATGGCCGGAAGAGCCCATCGAGAGTTGACGGTTGACGTTTGGCTAATTCGAAGCCACGGCGATCCCACCAATTCAATGCATGCCATATACCATGACGTGCTGCAGACAATGACAGACCAAACAGACAGGACTCGAGAAATCAAGGTGGCAGGTGGAGGGTCAGATGGGACAGAAAAACGTACGCCAGGGAGAGGATATCGCCAATAGTTCGTTTGGTGAATACCTGGCGGATATCGTAAACCAAGGTGGCTGGTGGAGGGCCTAGATAGTGGGTAGAACGAAGGGATAGAGGGGGTTGGAAAGACCGGACGGATATCAGCTGAAAGAGTGAAGCTGAAGATCCAAGAAAATGCTGAGAACAAGATGTACAGTTACAAAACGATGCCGTAGACGATATTCACAAAATTGGCCCGCGAGGATTGGGGTTGAAAAGAAAAAGAAACAAAGCGGGAGAGGGATGAACGGTTTTAGCTGGGGGAGAGTTGATCATTCCATGCCATCTCGACAGGGGAGCGAAATGACCGTGCCAGGGTACAGGGGCACTAGGCGCTCAAAAGACGCTGGACAGGCACCAGGACCACTGTTTCCTTGGTTCTCCCAGGGGCACAGTCGCTGCAATTGGCCGCTAATCCAACCGATGGTGGTGATGCTGGGTCACCTTCTTTGGTGAGTTTGGGGGCACTTTCCTTGTGAAGGTAGGAGTGTGCGGGGCCTCACCGCAGCCGGCTATAGAGAAACAGCCAATAAGACATGTCGCTAGGGTCCCACTTACCTAGAGCTGTTCAATGTCACTCTGGACAGGAGCAGGAGCATGAGATGGAAGGCAGTGTTGGCTCTAGATTCTTCCCCCTCTCTTCTCATCCCCTTCCGCTGACCCGTTATTCAACTTGGCTTTTCCAAAAGAGTCAGGATACTCGCTAGGATTCGCTGCACTCGACCTCACATGTCCCTGTAGGCGCGCGCTTCATTGGTCGGGGCCGTTACTGCCATACCCGCTTCCCCTGCCAAGCCATGGATCAAGTCTTCGACTGGACGAGAGCAGAAAACAACAAAGGACAGGCTCAACTGCAACACAACTTTTATCGATAAAGACCAGTCAGTCCTGCTTGGATTGGACCAGATTTCTCTGTGCTCATCTTAAACACGCTGAAAAGGGCCTAATGTTCACACGAGTGTGGCAAAGGCAAGCATATGGGTCTACTCACCCACCCAAATTCGACGCCAATGCAAGGTACGAACGGTTGTCACAGAAAAAAGGACAAGCCTCAAAGACCAAGCACAAGCTAAGCCAACGCCACGACGCTTGCGAAGATGAAAAAGCAATTGAAGGATGAGACCCCAGATTGCCTCGAATGAAAGCGAAACGCCTCAGCCGGATGCGCGTGACGATGCTATTCAGACGTTGTACAATAATAGCCGCTCTAGGGAAGAGTGCCTTTGTCGTGCTGATTCAGAGCTTTGTGGATGGACACGGACATAAGCATGAAGAACACGCGTTCGATCAAGTGTGCTGATTCTATTACTGGGCTAGATGATCGCAAAAGGTAAAGTAGCGGTCCATGTCTTTGATTACAGGCTTGACCCATGCTCGGTGCCAGAACGGGCACGCAATCGGCCATTCCTTGTATTTCGTCTCCTTGGTATTGAGTAGCTTCTCCGGCTTCATTTAGGGTGGCCCCAATAACTGCGCTTTTTATTTGCGATATTTCATACAGCCAGGAGACATATAGGCGGCAGCTCTCCTTTCTCGCTCACTTGTCATTTCACTAGAGAGCTTTGACTGGCTTCTGGTTCGGAAGCTCGGAATTCAACGCCATGGATGCTCCAACCTGATCCCAGTTTTCTTTGCTTAAACAAAAAGCACTCAAGTAAACAAACCAAAGTATGCTTTTGATGTCAACGTCACCTCGTTACCTTGTGTCATGAGAAAACATCCATTCTCTCAAGGGAGGTGACTAGAAATTTGTGTTGATTCAGTATAAATCAATGCAATTACTCGTTACATGGCGTCTTAGTTCATGCCAGAGTCGAATATTCATTTAAAAGGCCAACAAGGATTGGGAATTGAGTCGCCTGGACAGCCTCACTGCTTGACTCTGCTGGTCCATTCACTACTATGTATAATCCACGCAAGGCCATCTTAGACTAATCCTCTCGATCCCAAGGCTATCTAGGTTGCTCCTTGGGACTTGTTTCACTGGTTCATACATAGTTCAGAGTTTGCATATTATCATGAATCGCTTGGAAATTTCGGTGATAGTCAGATAGGGACTGTTGTGCCGAAGTCTTAGTTCAGATACTATCACCTAATTTAGGATATTATTGTCACAGTTAGGCCAGATTATCCCTCTCCACCAAGTTGAGGACCTCAGCCGCATTGATCCACCGACATCTCTTATTATTTGAAAGCCGGATCGCCTAGATAATAAAGGCTGAGATTTCAGCACGGAGGATTTCATGGATATCGTGGTTGTCACTGCTGGGGGACGGCGCATTGACCTGTCTTCCATCATCTGAATTCTCATATTCTGTTGAGAGGGATGGTTGCTGGGTCAAATGTAGGACACAGTGGTGAGCCCAGCCAGGTATGTCTAATTGACGGAATGCAATATTGAGGCCATCACCAGGAAACTAGAACCCACTATGAAACATTCTAGCACAACAGAAAAGTCAATTGTCAATATGAAGATTGCAATGACCACATCGGATTGTTATCAACATTCGGACCTTGATGTCATGGCATACCGACATTCTGGCTACAGGTGAGGTGGGTAATAGAGTTATCTTGAACTCTAGATATGTGTTTTGGCAGTGTATTTGCCGACACGGATACGGCATCCGGTGAACAGGCGGACAACATATGCGTGTCGTGGTGATATTGGCCAATTCCAGTGGCTCAGCTCAACTTAAAAGCCATCACACGCCTGCTTCGACATAAACTCTCCCTTGCATCCAGCGATCAGAGTTTTGCAATGATGTGCTGTCCTTGCATGACAACATTTACTGAATGGTTTGCGCTCATAATGGGGAGTTTTTGGGCTATGATAACACTAAATTCAGGTGGAAGCATATATCACTCTACAATAAGCTTTTGCTCCCGGGGTGATTGGGACCTGTCAAATATTTTTCTCTCTCGGACCATTTTGCTTTTTTGAGTGTGTTGAGACAGTACGGGACGTGCATCGTAAATTGCCGTCAACAGCGGGTCATGCAAATGTTGATGGAATAAAGGAGACAAGAAGCCGAAGTTACCTATGGTCATTGCTTTCTCACCCTGGAGTTTTCAGAACCGAGCAGGGTTTGACAGTTGAAGGGGCCAAGGAGAGATATGATATGGACCCCTATTCTTTCGCTATTGGACAGGTTAGTTGAGGTGCCGAATTATCGTGAAATTCGATATGGGCTTCACCGCATTGCTGTATACCCTATGTCATATGACTTATGCTTGGATGGAGCTCTTGATGATGATAATTATATGGTTGTGTGACTTTGAGGTCACGCACACATAGATACTCACTACAATTCATGAGTTATTGCCCAGAAAGAGTTATTGTTGATAGATACATGAAGCTTCATGAGGATAAGATACGATAAGTTGTCCTCTACCACAAAGCCTCTCCCTGATTTGGGAATGTGGTTATGCGGGTGATGAGTAGTCCTAACTTTGTTGGGACTGGCGTTATGGGCATCTGGACGATCTGGGTCTAGCCAAGGAAGGGGCCGCCCGCCTTGGCTTGGAAAGCTCCTCAGCTGGAAGTTGAGCAGTATCAAACCTTAGATAGTACAGCACAAGATTTGCACTGCCATCTGTTTAATATCAGACAAGTCAAATCAATGACCAGAAACCGACATTTGAGTTGAATGCTGATATAAGGACCGAAGACATGATACAGACGGCGGGGCTACTAGCTTGTATATAGACGATTCATCTCGATGTCACTGGTCCTAACCAGTCTAGCAGCCTGTATGTACAACATTCGGGAGATGCGAGCCCCCCTCATTGTACCAAGTAGCGAGGCAACACAGAGATAGCGGCCGGCCAGCCAAACACTGAAGCCCGTTCATGTGCGGTTGCAGCCCGGCTTCGGGTTCAACAATGAACAAAGAAAGTTGACACAACGGTGAACTTGTCCCATGAACGACTGATATTTTGCCAGTTAGTAAATTGTTAAAGGCATATCCAATCGTGTACTACCAAAACTTCCACAAATACCTTACACAAGATGACACCGACTGGAAAGAAGAACGGCGTCGCCTTGAGGCGATGTGTATGCCATAACATGTCGTTGATTGGGAATTGGCCAAGATTGACTCTGTTGAGCTGGACACTGTGGAAACCCATAGACAAAGATAGACTCTCCTGTATTTTTGAGAACGACTACTATTTATTGACAGCATTTTCCTTCTCTGGATCTGTAGATTTTGAACCGCTTTGTTCCCTGTCTCTGAGCCTGTACATCTTGACCCCTGCAAGCTGACGTTCACAACGCAACTTGTCAAATATCCCAAGGTATCAGGCAAACCCGTAAATAAAACAACAGCTTCAGCTACAGATAGCTGACTATTGTATTAAATAGATCCCACTCATACACTATTGAAGTGCTATTCAACTGTGACACCCCTTCTGAACCCCAGCATAACCATAGCGAAAGTAAAGTACGTATGTAGAGCTGTCCTCCCTGCTCACCAATACCCTTGTTGACAGCCCTCTTTAAGCATATTTCTACGCTACTACTCCACATCCAATACGATTTGTATCAGAGCAGGAAAAGGTAAGAAGGAAAGGGCACATACAGCAGGAAACATACGCTTGTCTCGCCCATCATTCCTCTACTCACCGCACACGAGGACTCCCTCTCCCTTGTCCTCAAGGAGGGACAAACACCAAAGGGCCGTTCTCACATCTCACCAGCTCCGTCTAACTCGACTGAAGCCAGGCCCGCACATTCCGACGACGGCGTGCAACGTTGGCCTTGCCCTTGATTCCATCTGGACAACCCAAGGCAAAGAAAGGACTCACTCACGGGAGCCTACATTTCTTATGAAAAGGCACCATATGCCCGCCTGATTCGACCTGTAGGTGGCCGCTCCCTTTCATCTTTAATCCACGTTGGTTCCCTCTAGTACATCTCACCGATCAACCGTTTTTCTCCTCTTCATCTATTCGTTTCTTATCTAATTTTCGTATATTTTGCCTTTTAGAAAGGAATAATTACCTTTACAAAATACCACCGCACAAACAAACCAAGAGAAACCACCACAGAAACAAACTTTAACGAGTGGTCCTCTTCATTTTACCTCTTGGACAAGAAAGTTTCAAATCTTTTTGTGTCTACAGGAAAGTCATTGCCAATATTAACCTTTCTAAAATATATACGGCTATAAATACCAGGCTCATCTCTGGGCATCGCTCGGAAACACTCCAATACGATCAGCGATCAGCACAAAGGACGAAACGACCCGTACATCTTTTGGCGCCCCTGGACAGATTACTCCATATTGTCCAGGATCTTGCAACATTCCTAAACATATTCCACACGAACCCAGGCTATTGACAAGCACATATATCTGGAGACGGAATTGCAGACGAACGTCGGCGAGTATCTAATTTTTTTTCTTTGAATTTTCGCATCCGCTCATCATGACTCAACAACGTCCTTGGGAGTCCGTAAGTTGACAAATTTCATTTTTCTGTTGTATCTGTTTGTCTCTACCCCGCTGCAAGGCTCTCTCTACCTGGTACTAAGTTAGTGATGCCCTCCTCCACTGTCGGTTCGCTTCAAGGGCCTGTCGTTTCGCTTGTCCTGCCTGGACTAGGTTCGGGACAGGGAGTGCGACGTCAGAGATGCTCGTGTGCTATACTAGAAAGTCTCAACCAAATGCGTCAGAGTCAAACTAGTCTAGTGCACCCCTTCCCAAATCTGCACTTGCACTTCAACCAAAAAAATATACCTACCTCCCTCTTCGTACCTGCCTATGGTCTTGTTGGCCCTTACTTCGACTTACCTATGCACCCCCAAACCAAACCCCGTACAAACATAAACATCATCCGCGCAGCATCAAAGCATCCCGATTCTTACATTGACTATCAAATATTAATACTGTTCCCTCCTTAGCGGGCTACACCTGGACGGCCTACCCGTCAACCGAATCACATGGGCGCACCATCGCAACCCCCGCCATCTACCTTTGGCGGAGGCAATGACAACATTTGGGCAACCAGCTATGCCCTACCCTCGCAAGGTATGATGATATCGTTTGTCTATCCTGTCAAAGGCGGACATGAATGCTTACTACCAACTCCAGACAACGGCGACCGATCAAACGTTCCCTACCCATCATGGCCCACAACTTCCAATTCACCATCACACAGCTCATCCCCGAACAACAGAACGAGCGGAGCTGACACCAACGACACGGACTTTACCAACAGTTTTCGTGCAATGCGAACATCAGATAACCTGACAAACTTCCCAAGGAAACATGCTGTGAGGAACTCTCAGGACTCGAGGAATTCGAACAGCTATGGTTTCCCAAGCGGTTTGACAGGTGGTTCAGCTTCTCGACAGGAGCCGTCCTATGGTGCCTCACACACTCCTAGCAGTTCGATCCACTCTCAACCAGCAATGCGGTACACACATCCATTGAGCCAGCAAACGCAGGGATTGAACCAACAGCAAGTGCAGGCGTTGAACCAACAAGTGCAGGCGTTGAGCCAGCAAGCTATGAACCCGCAGCAAGCGCAGGCCTTGAACCTGCAAGCTTTCAGCTTCAACAATACTCATGTTCTAGACCAACAGCCTGCTCACTATCCGTATCATCTCCCGACCAGCAGGACCACTTCGTCCCAGCTCAACCCTGCTTCTCAAACCTGGAACCAAAACATCGCCACAAACCATGCCAGCAGAAACAGCCTCAGCATCAGTGCTGACCTATCAAGCGGGCCTTTCCTAGATGATCAACTTGCCACAACGGCTCGTATGGATCAGGGCAGCGCCAACACGTTCATCCAGAATACCTGGAACACAAGAGAGTCCGGTTCTCAGCCACTCGAGAATCAGAGTAACCGTCGTATGTCAAGCCAATCTCAATATTCGGCCTTCTCCAGACCATATGGCACGCAAAATGCTCCTTATGGCACATACAACGGCGCTGGGTTTATTCAAAGCATGGTCTCCGCAGCAATCCCTCCTCTCTTTCAGGGAAACAGTTTTGGGAATGCAGCAAACGCACAACGAAACCACAATCCATCCGGGACAATCCGTCACCCATGGTGCATACATCTCAGTTCCATTATTGCCTCCAGTAAATACGTCCCTATCGATGCTGTCTTTGGCTGGGTTGTCATAGCAGCTGGTGATAATGAAATATCAAGGTTCATCCAACTCAAATTGACAACTGCAAAGAGCGACGAGAAGGAGAAAATGTTCCTCGAGATTGGCCCGGACATGCTTGGTCTGATGAAGGATCTCTATGGCAACTACGTTTGTCAGAAGCTGATTGAACATGGTAGCATGGCCCAGAAGATGAGCGTGGTTGAGACGGTGAGAGGTCACATTGTTGAACTGTCCCTGAACGCGTTTGGCTGCCGGGTGTTCCAGAAGATTGTGGAATGCTGCCCGGTCAGCCACATTGCCACAATTCTCGACGAAATCCACAGCTATGATGTCCTCAAAGCGGTAATGCAATCCGAGCCCGGAAACCACGTCATCCAAAAACTCGTTCAAACTATGCCTCCGAAGGATGTCAAGTTCATCACTGTAGCCTGCCAGGAGAATGCAAGAGAACTCTCGGAAGACCAATACAGCTGCCGGATCCTGCAGCGGGTGCTCGAATACGCCGAGGAGGACGACAAGAAGAAGCTTGTGGCAAAGCTTAGCCTTATGATGGACGAACTCGTCACCCACCAGTGGGGCAACTATGTTGCTGGTCACATCATTCAGAATAGAGGCCCAGAGGATCGGGACCCCATTTATGAACATGTCATGACTAGGCTACTTACTCTTTGCCAACACAAACTTGCATCTCACGTGGTCGAGAAATGCATCGTGTACGGCACAGATGAACAGCGCACTCGAATCCTCGAGCGACTCTGCCCGGCTAACGATTCTGAGCAAACGTTTGAAAACATGTTCAAAAACCAGTTTGGCAACTATGTGGTTGGTGAGTATTTATTTCTGTCTGTTTCGATTATGTAACTAACACAAGATAGCGAGTTTGCTCAAGCACCTCAAATGGGGAACCGTGGAGCGAGCTCAATTCAAGGAGAACATCATAGTTCAGTATGATCTCCTCAAGGCGACCGGGAGGTCTTTTGAAAAGCTTGACAAGATTTTCGAGGAGGACAAGAAGATGGAGGCCAAGGAGGCAAAGCTTGCGAGTAACCTTCAAGTCGAAGTTGACTCAGCCGGGCCAACTCCAGTGTTGACCAACGAAACCAACAGTCCTCAGAGCGACAGTCTCCCAAGCGCTGACGCGAGCACCATCGAGGATCCTCACACCAACAAGAAGAACACGGGGGCAAACCCACGGGTTCGAGAAGATGATGATGCATAGACGCCCACTAACGGACGACGATAACGGATTCACCCACATTTATGCACACTTGCTTCGCACCCTATGTTACAAATAGATCGGAAAGGTTCAGGATACATAACCACAAAAGCTTCCTTGGGGTACTGCATGGATTTGGACCAGGTCAGGTACCTGGTCATGAATATATACCACCACCCAAGGTGTCTAATACAGCAGAGGGCAGGGGCGGAGGAGTATTCACCTGGACATGTTTACAGCGACCTGGGACTCAACCATACAGCGGGGCAGGGAATTACCACACAATCCCGTTCAAGCGGGGCTGCAAAGGCGTTCAAATGGGTTTCGGTGTTTTCAGGGGTTTGCTCGTTTTTTTTTTCTTTCTTTCTTTTTTCTTGTATTTTGTAATTTTGTTTTCTTTGCTATGGTCTAGTTTTATTTGGCTTGTCCAGGTTTATACTGGGGTCAGGATGATTGCAAGGAAGTGGAAAGACAGTGCCGGCTGGAATATGGTTCAGTCTGGAAAAAGGTCTATACGAACTACAAAAAACGGATAAAGCAGCCACTCAATAATGTGGTTGAACGCTGCAGCGGTAGTAAAATATGATATTAAAGAGCTTGTTTGTCTTTAGTAATGACTTGTTGCATCGCATTTAAGTGACTGATGTGTAGATGCAAGTTGATTAAATAAAGGATCTAAACCAGTGGGTTAATACCAAATGAGTCTTTACAGATAATCTGCCAGGGCTTGAGCGGAATTTTGGTGAGAGTGAAGATAAAGATGAGAAGGAGTAGATGTAGCGAGTAATAACAATTGGACTCGAAGATAGTAATAAGCAGTTTTTATAACAAACAGTCAATGGTAACTGCTAGTTGAAGTCGGTATGGATACAAGAATGTGCCTATTTTGCATTACGCTGTCGAGTCGCGATCTTGCCAATATGACAGTGAAATATAACTTGGAACATACGGGAGACTTTTTGAACTTGGAAAGGGGGCAAACAACGATACAATAAGAAGAAAATTCCTTCTCTAGCTATATACCTCTAATCGAAGCCTTTTCATCATTACCTTCATCATGACTACTCTTTTACCAGCGTCACCCATCTGTGGATTTCGAAGACAGGCCCTATCAAGTGGAGGGATGCGACAAAACAAAATACAGCCATAGCGCGCACTATTACAAAACAGGGCATACGGTACAAGAATGTCATAAAGTGCTGCAAGTCCTTTGGCGCGAAGGGCCACAAGCCCGAATACTGTACAGGATAACGCCGACTGGAAGGGGCCGCGCATTTCATAGAGGCCATCATTGCTGTCTCAACAGCAGCAAAGCATCATTACATATAACACAAGATTCACTCAACCAGCTCATCACTGTCCAGAATGGCTCAAGGTACCGGACCCAACGAACGGTCTTGTCTCAGCCTGATGCCTTGCCATCATGACACCCCTTGGGCATGGGTTGATGTCAAGCTTCTCCACAATCTGGAACTTACCACCAGTAATGAATTCAAGCCTCTTATACTGACATTGGTTTCACAAGATCAAACTTTGATACAACTCGAGATCTGAAAAGTGAGCCCTCATCGGTTGTGTATGCATCTGGGTCGGATCCTGAGCATCGTGCTCTGCCATACGGGCAATGCCTTTTGGCTTTTAGAATTTACGTCTCAGTAGTTGGAGGCTGTAGATTGTTTTAAGATGTCCTGCTACTCCATGTCTCGTTTTAACCATGCGCATACGTATCCTCATCTTCCGACCCATATGATTGATGGTGAAGACAAGAACGTGGAGGGATAATGTCGCTTGACCAATCACAGCACGTATTTGTAAATCATTTCCATATTGGGAAATAGAAATGGCGGCTGAACTTCGGTGGCCCGGCCCGCCCCCGCCTCACACAAATCGAAATCAAGACTACCACATGCACACAGTCTTCAAACGTTGATTTCTCCATCAACAAAAATGCAAAAAAAAAATCTGTAGCATGCTACTAGTAGCTGCTAACGTAAGCCCATATCGGGACTCGAACCCGAAATCTTCTGATTAGACAATTGGGTAGTTAGTATGGAGATTCGAACGATGATTTTCGTGTACTCACAGTCAGACGCGTTAGCCATTACGCCATACGGGCTTAAGCTAGTCTTTACTCACGGTATAAGTAATAAGCAGAGCATTACGCAGCTGTCAAAGTGGGCAGTATGCTTTGAAATTCACAAAGAACCATTTGATGTATTGCAGCCTTACCACGTTCCTCGTTTTCAGAACGATCCTGTATATTTACAGCTGCAATTCAGTCTCATTTCATTAAGATTGTAACCCTGCAAAGAATTATGACGGCACGACACAAAACAACAACATTCTTGCATCCATTCACTTCAACCAGGTAACCACAACCACAAGACTTATCCATTAGGTACATTGCGTGAACAAATGGTTCTTGAATACACTTCTTTCTTTGTCCTGCTACGCCATCGAGGGTCTGATGGGTCTTGACCGTCGCAAGTTTGTATCGGCCACGTAGAACCACTAAAGGCCAGAACTAAACGTTCTAAAAAAACTTTTCAAGCTCTGCAATCTCATCAAGGTTGGTAAAACTTCGGTTGAAGAGCCAAAATTTTACTCTTGTCCCAAGCCTCTCAGCCTTGACTCTAGTTAGTATGTGTGATAACATGGTGCTTGTCTTGAGGAATGCCGCCCACACACACGCCTTACGCTCAGCGCAGAGCCTCACTACTGGGTAGCAGAAAAGTTGGCGTTCTAAAAATTAGGGTATAAAAATAAGTAGCCTAAAAAGTATAGTCTAAGGAGCATAAACTGACATACTAATTTCGTCTCTTATGCTTCCAGCGGCCAATTTTTTTGCTACCCTGAGGCTTCACCAATCTTCAAACTGTGGCGGGGCACAGAATGTGGAGAGGTGGGCAGATTTGATGATTCTTGCGGTCAGTTATCTCCATCCCCTCCATCAAAATCGAGCGTATCAGTATATGAAACTCGAGTTTTGACTATTCTAAATTCTGGAAATACCGCCGAATGGGAGATCACATGTTGATAATGTGAAGGAACAGGCACCGCATATGAATCTTTGGCAAGGCTCAAGACTAAAGTTTACTTATTGGTTGTTTCTTAGCAAGGAGTATCTTTGTGAATATATTGTTTTCTGAGGATGCGGTGGTGTAGTTGACCGAGCAATTATTGTGAGTCAATCACCTTACCACTTACTTATCTAGTACTCTATAATTGTACAAGTAGATGTTGAGATGAATCCCTAGTAGCTACCTCTAACCCCTGCGGCTAACATCGGTGCGTAGGGGGGGACCCTAGAAACATCCATCACCCTTGAAGCTAACTATTTTGGTACATAGCTATGACGCCGCCACGTGCAGGTGCAGATGAGAAGCCAACTCACTCAGGGATTGCCGATCTCCGTTCCGAGATTCTCAAATTAACCCTTCATTAATTCACAACACCAGCCAGGAATGGAGGAATTATAGCTCATTCCAACACAATTCAACTATTCAACACTCGGTACTCATCATATCTATTCGAGGCAACCGTTACCCGACATGACAGCCGCCGCCCGACTGACCTTCCTAAGCCCACAAGTGCTGCGTGGAATACGTCCAACACCTCGCTCTACCGCTGGCTTTGCCAGGCATAGAGGCACCTTTGCACGAAGGAGAGGAAAGGCCATTGAGCCCCAACTTCTAAAGGCAGACCCAACACTGAACCTTAATACCTCGCATCCTCTTATCAGCGATAGCGCTATTCGTCCTCAACTCGAGATGTCCACAGAAACCCAAGAACAATTGCAATCCACGCCCGACAGATCAGTTTCGACAACCGAGACACAGCAACAACAGGACCTTGCATCGACAAACAGCCCGCAGAACAAAGAAAATGAGACTGCCGAGGAGGAACGTGCCAGAATCGCTCGTGAAGAGGCTAAGCAGAGCGGGCCTCTAGAGGCTGTACTACATATGCAACCACCCGAGACGAAGACGAAGACGACAAGACCTGGCCCGGCCATGTGTCCACCACCATACGTCCACCACTTTGACAGTTACTCGCTTGTGAAGCACTTGCAGGGAGGAGGCTGGTCGCAAGAACAGGCTACAACATCAATGAAGGCCATTCGAACGCTACTCGCAGAGAACTTGGAAATTGCTCAATCGACTCTGGTTAGCAAGAGCGATGTTGAAAATGTGGGTATACTCATATCATGACGGGTCACGGAACAAATGCTAACGGCAAATACTAGGAAACATATCTCTTTACTGCGGCCTGTTCAGAGTTAAGCACCGAGATTAAAAATAACCGAAGGCTCGAAGAGGAACAACTACGACAGCAGCGTACGCACCTACAGCACGAGGTTGATATTTTGGCACAAACATTGAACCAAGAGCTTCACACATTAAACGATAATGTACGAGGCTCGTTCAACGATCGCAAGATGGCTGTCAGGGAAGAGCAGAAAGTCGTGGAGAGCGCTGTATGTTTCCCCTCCGATGTCGGCCGGAGTTGGTCAACTAACAGATATTCCAGGTCCAACAAATCAACTACAAAATCAGCAGTGTACTTAGTAGCGACGCAAAGTCTGAGATCGAGGCTGTGCGCTGGATTCTCATCCGTCGCTCCGTCCTAGGCATAATCTTCATGGCAGTCCTGACACTGGGAACCCTAAGATATGCCACATACGTGAGCCACGAGCGACAAAGAGAAATGGATCGCATTAAGAGAGAGGAGGAAGAGAAGAGACGGAATGGAGGAAAACAGGATCGCACAATCGATGCTGATGCGGCAGCGATTCTGGCCGCCAACGGATAAGAACATGCGACGAACACTTTTTCCTTGGCACATTTCTTTTTGTTTTATAACCGATACCCCTATAGATTTTCTACTGGAAGAGAGTAAAACGGGCTCTTGTCACAAAAAAAAAAAAGGAAGGCTGCATCATGGTAACTTTTGCTGGGAGTTGCATGAGCTGATGAGAGGAGCCTTGAACAATGTGGGATGGGTAAGGGACAAATGGTACATATATACACGGCATACAACAGGCTTTGACAAGCCAATTTCATAGACGCACATAGACATTTTGAATATCAATGACTAGATTGATGCTGGTCGTAATCCATCATGAGAACTTGGCAGTATTTTGTGTATCATGACTACTATTGAATGCAGCACGTGCTAAGATAAATTGATTACCCCACGCGTCAACCTGTCGCGTCAACCATCAAAGACCAACATCTCCAACATCATCAAGTACATACTTCATAATCCCGACCAGCCTCTACACCAATGTCACCCGAACCGCAGCCCTCCGCTCCCGCGCAGGCTGAAGCAGCCCAGCAAGAAGTAGAGCAACAACAACAAGAACCCCCCGCGAGCCCTCCCCTCCCTCAGCGCCACACAGCCGTATCCCCCGGTCCCCGCGCAGCGCGTCTACAAGAACTCTATGCGCGATCGCTGAAAAAGACGCTGGGAAAGGCCAGCTGGCAGAATGTCGCGGGGTGCTACCCTACTATTGCGAAGAGGGCGGAGGGTGTGCTAAGGCAGGTGCAGGGACAGATGGTTGATAAGTTGGGCGAGAAGTGCGAGGTGCGTATTGTTGGATTATGATTGACGAGTAGTGCTGACATGATGGAATACAGAAAGAGTTTGAGAATATCATGGTTTCGAGACAGGTTATTCCCAAACTGAATGATCTCGAGAGTCTTATTAGTGATGCATCACGGCGACGAGCGGAATCGACGACAGAACCATCAACACCGTGCGTTACTCTTCCATACACACCGCTTCTATGCTAAAACTCATGCAGACCACATATGCTCCCTCCACCCACTATCCTCGCTGCCCATCTCACACCTACACTCACAGCCCACCAATCGCAGCTTAATGCCCGCCTACAAACAACACAATCGCAAAACGCTCTTTTGTATGACGAAGTACAACGACAAAGAGAAGAGATTAGAGCTCTACTTGATAGTTTGGAGGCTGTGGTAGCAGATATTCAAGGTGCGAACGATGCGCTGCGCCCGGTTGTGAACGATGTTGCTGCCGAGACGAGGCAGGGAATTGCAACTGTTGAAGCTGTAAATGGAGGGAAGCAAGGGCAACAAGGAGCGACGAATTGAACAAAAACGATACTTAAGGGAAAGCTGTATAGAGCTGGGTCATGCTAAATTCGGAGTCATGGGGCGGCAATCCGCTAAAGGAGTACGATACCATCATCTTTTGTTTTGTATCACGAAGCAATGTTCACAAATGATCAATTATTTCACAGTAAAGGATCTCGGGAATGTTTGATACAGCAGTTTCTTTTTAGAGGCAATGCCTCATAGGGACGTATATATATGAACTTATGTAAAAGTCTGTCGTAGCAGGTCATATATGCAAGAAATGATATGGTAATGGGGTGGTTTAGACCTCCATGTCATGCACCGGTCCCCAGTCAAAACCGCCAGCGCTGATCTAACAAGAAAGCAATAAATCAAATGTAAACTCCGTTCCATGATCGTAAGCCATCATCACCGTTGGCTGATGCAATCCGCAGCCTTTCATGCGCCAGATATGCAAAGTAGCTATGTACGTTCGTAAAAAAGACGAGATGTGAGGTGCTGTGCCTCTGTTTTCGAGTGTGAATCTGTGTAGTGGTGTTTTAGATTGTATAAAATGTTGAATCAACCATAAGAGAAATGTGTGTGATGTCGTATGAGATGTGACCGGTCCCAGTAGTATTTTGTGTAAGAGAAAGAGGACATAGTGAAGTTGGTAAGGAGGAGTGTCATGGGGTAGAAGATGTTTATATCATATATGCGTATGGCCAAGACCTTAGATGAGTCTGTTTTCGGTATGAACCGTTTGCCAAGCACCAAAATAGTCGATCTCACCATAGGCTGGTGGGAGAACCCTGACCATTCGGCCAGTCGTCCAATCAACATAGAACTTTTTGCCCTTATTGATGATGTATGGCGTTTTGCGGGGACTTCGGAAAAGAAGGTTGCTGTAACAAAGCTTGGCATACAGCAAGTCGTGAGCACTCGACCACTGATGTTCTGGTATCCATTTTCCGTCGACAGGGTCGATTCCCATGTTGTTGTATGACGTTGTGCTGAGTCGCCGGGCAAGGTCTATCCGAGGAGGAGGTTCTACCACTTCCTCTTCATCACCTTCAACCTCAATTTCAGGTTCAAGTCGGGTTTGGGATTCTGGAGCCAAAGGTAAAGATGGACGAGTCTCGCTTGTCGTCGCTGATATTTCTTCAGTGCCTGTTTCAATTCCTAGTTCCGACAAGTCGATGGCCGTAGCGGTAGGTGACTGGCCGTGAAACCAACGGATTCGTTGTATTCGGGGTATAGACATATCGCGAGGAAAGTCTCGGTCTTCCAAAGGCAGGGCGATGTCGATGGCTGCAAATAAACCTTCGAGCCATTTGTTAAAGGTGCTCAATTCGACACAGCACAAGAGAAATTGATCGGTCTCGGCTCGAATGCGGATGGTATATCGCCGTCTTGATCATGTTAGCAACTCAAACTCCTCATCTACACCAATCACAATAGCTTACTTCTTATAGTCGGCAGCGATACCAACATCCGCATACAGCAGACTGTACGTCTTCTCAAGCTTGCCCTTCTTCACCCATGGAGGGTTATCTGGATTAACGGACGGTCCATCGTCGCGCGTCCTACCCCAGCTCCAGGCCTTCTTAGTGCCATAGATGTTAAGCGCGGTGCCGTTCAGACAAACATATACGGGATACCATTGACGATCTTCGGCCCTCTTTATCAAGTTTTCGATTTCGTGTTTCTTATCAAAGACGCCCTCCAACAATATTGAGTTGTTGTAGGCGGGAAGCTTTTCTTTTCCTGTATCCGGGTGAAGTTGAGTTTGGCCGCCCCCGCCAGTCTTGAGCTCTTTCTCCTTCTCCAGAATATCTCCATGCTGGGAGATGTCCGATGTCGTCGATGGCGGATCTCGCTCTTGCTGGTACGGAGGCGGCTGGGAGGGTCGAGGCTGGTTCGTCATGACACGCTGATAGTGAAGGTCCTCCTCCATTGAGACACGCCGCCTAAGGGGCGGCGAGGTGGGAGCGATCGTGGATGATCCATCGTCCTCAGCTGTGACCCTGCGGAGGTCCATTGGAGGGAGACGGGACTTATATGAAGTCGAGTAGGGTCCCACGACCGGCCGTTGCGGAACGGGAAGGGCGCACGGGGTGACTCTCTGGTCTGGGGGCGTGAACCTCAACAAGCATTGACCGTAGGAGTCTCCATAGAGGACGGTAGGCTGAGGTTGATCATTCCGACCCGCTCGAGGTTATGTGGAGAGAGTTGTAGAAAAAGACTGGAGTGAACCAACAGAAGACGAGGTTGAGAGGATCAGAACAGTCAGCACGGATCCACGAAGAGAAGCATCTGTGGAAGAAGGTCGCACGCAGGGGTCGATATGAGGATCGTGGATCGAGGGGGGTGTGGGCTGAGCTGGAAGACGGGGTTGATGAGATACCGGTAGGGCCCAAACAAGACGTGCCTCCGTCCGGCTTCGACGGGGTATAGAAGGGGAATGGAAATGCGGCGGCTCTTTTGTTCGAGTGACTAGGCCTGCGATCGAAAAGTCAGGGCCAGTCCAGCGCAGAGCGACGTCAGCCGTTTCGAAGGGGCCCACGTAGAAGCGACCTCAGATGAGAATTGGAGGTGAGAGTGGAGCGGAAGCTGTCGAAACGTGAGGGTGTGGGATGGGAAGGATATTGAAAGCGCCGGAAGAGTGGCGAGATGAGGCTGCCGTATTGGACGCTACAGTAGTTTTTTCGAGAAAAGCGATTTCGCCTAAATCGAATAATCAGGTCAATCACATTAGGATCTGATGCGACAGCGTCTTGATTGGCCTTTTGGTCTGGCGGGTTGTGGGATGCGGATGTGATGCGATCCGCACTTTCGAAGAGCGAGTATCAAATGCGTGCTAAATGCGCCGAATTTCCGCGCGCTGACTGCCGATCTCGCCTGTATTAGTGGACGTTTCTGTCTAACTCGGCGTAGGGCTCTGCGTTCTTTTTGTCTGAAAGTGAAATATCTGTACTATCTCGTCTCCGATATGTGAAGTTGATGAATAGTCCAAGATGAGATGTCGTTGGTGGTGCCAAGTCCAGGGTTCTCCTCTTTCTTCTCTCATGCTTGGCTTACCAGTTGAATTGATTTAATTTTGGCTCATGGGTCGGGGAAGGAGCGCACCTTGATCGTTAACGCCCCAGACAAGGCAAGCACGACACATGGTATTGCTTGCTGTGACGGGGGACCTGACTCTGGCTTTGGCCTGCGCCTGCCTTCTGGCAGCGTACCTCACGTTGCAGGTTCAAAAGGACCACCTTCCCGTCAAAAGGTCCCGCGCGACTGGGGTCTCACGAGCCCATAGAACCACACGAGGAAGTTGCAGCACACGGCCCCACCGTCCTCAGCCAGCGCCGCTAGTAAGGAACGGGTAGGTACCTTTCTCAGGACGGATATCGGCACAAGGAAGTAACAACAAAAGTCTTTCTTGGCGTCCCACGCTACTTGTTTGCGCAAGACTTTCTATCCACTACCAATGCAGATAGACGTTGTATTGTAACATCAAACTATACGTTTCAACAACTATGATTATCGTCAATGGCCTGGGCATAGTCCCGACTATAGTAATTGGTCATAATATGACAACGGTAATTGCCGTGCCCAATATCGTACTCAACTGTACCTAGCAAATCTACGATAGAGTTCAAGCCTCGCTTGCTACGTTCTATCCAACGTACATAAGCCACGTTTGACGTCTCGGCCGGGTCGAGACTGTCATGTCCGGAGCTTGTCACTACAAGAAACCGACATGCAAGCAATTAATAGCTGCACATTGCACATCCAATCGCACAAAAGTTCTCAGGGCCATAATTTCATCCGGCTCTGGATTCATTTATCCCAGACGCCGCAATAATAGTTCTGCATAAGGGAACTTGCAACCAACGAAACGCAACGATACGGATATATAGAACGGAGTTGCGTAACAAAAGTGCCATTTTTACCGTTTCGAAAAATAACTGTCAAAGCCGACACTTGATTCGCTCTCTGCAGGCGACCCAGACTTCTGGGAAAGGTATACGTACTCCTTCTCCAATTGAAGCATCTTACCTCATACTCTTAAGACTCTGTTTCTGTGCTCGATAAAGGAACTTTTGGTGCCGCCATTGGCACCTTTGATAGTGGGCCCCTCTCTGTGTCTGGGGTCAGGCTTTCTCGGCGTCTCTTTATGGATTGAACAAAACGGCTCCACCAATAATGTATACGGGTATGTATGTCGTGTGTTGTTATTTCTATTATACATCGTCAACCATTTATGGCATTGCATTCCTCCTAATTTTATCATACAAGTTGACAACAAATCATGCGTTTGACTGATACTCTATCAAAAGAACAATCACCCATTGTGAGAGTACACAAAACCCAATGCAAACCACACTGAAACTCCGCTCTTCTCGAATCGGAAGACAGCTCGTAGGGCACAACATTTCCGGACTGTCTCCGTTGAAACCTCCCGTCTTAGTGTCCATTCAATTTCTCTAACGGCACACTACTAAACACAGGAATTGGAGCAGGGCCGATTCGAATCTCCATTACGCATTAGGTTGCGGGGAATACCCGGCGAACGTTGGTTCAGCGATGTTGATGATCAAGATAATCAATGAACCATACGTATGCATGACTTGGAATGGGGGTGTTGTATTACTTGAATGTCGGCAGTCGAATTGCTTCAGGACGATCATGCAAATCTCACACGGTAATTATTCCTCCGAAATACGTGTCATCATCGAGATGCGCGGCATGGGAGCTGATCATTGCTTCTTCTCACTGAATACGTAATGATCGTTGACAAAAAGTTCCTTTTTCATCTTTAATTCGAGCTTCAATGAAGCATAACTAGTAATAAAACTAAAGTTCACAAGTCAGGTACATGACTTACGTAGACACAAGCCAAGCTACTAATTCTTGACACAAGCTCACCGCGTTGATCCTCTCCTGTCTTGGCCGCAACCTCCTCTCTTCATCTAAAGAAATTCCAAAAGAAATGTGATATCCCCAGCCACTGTCTCATATATCGCTGATCGCCTAATGTACTCCCCGGATCTCTCGGCATCATCACTCACCTCATCTTTTGAGCACGCCTGCAATACCTCGAGCCATCATTGCTCACATGACAATAGCTCTTTTGTTCTGCTCTGTTGGTCGGACTAAAGTATGAGTCTGCTTTCAGAAGGTCACAAATAAGCGGGCGAACGAGTTACGAGAGTGTTTCCCCATACACGGCGTCCCCGGAAGAAACCGAACAGCACGCCCGCTGGGTAGACCTGGATATTATCGGGAGACAATTCCTTCAACCTTTGAATATCACGACCACACGTGCGAGTTCACCGTCAATGGTTTTTGACTTGCCTAAGCAGGGACTATGTAGTAATTATTACAAGTGAGTATCCTCTTGGTTTGCAAAAGTCCCTCTATAACCCGCTTGGCCTTTGATCCATCGTTACAAAAGAACCTTGAGGAGCGCCAAAAACAAACCGGTCGACTTGTTTGGTCCACGAGGCTCAACAAGCTTAACTTCGGATATGTTTCTCATTTCATCCATGACTTGATTTCGTTGATGGATATCGCTTGTCGTTGCCAAGTTTCCGATGGCCCGATGGTTTGCCTTGTGTTACGTTACTTGGCATGACAGCACCGACTTCACTATGAGATTTCGCATTCACTTGCTTCATCTGGCAGCTTGGCTCCGAGGTTAGAAACCAAAAGGTACTAATCATTACTTTCACAGTAAAAAGTACAGAACGTGGTCCCTGTCAAGCCCTTTCATCCAGGCCTAGACTTCTTCTGACATGATCTCCCATCACTATCTCTTCCTGATACTCATCAATGTTCCTCTGCCCATCCGGGTGCAGCCTCTATCGCCCGTCCATTCGCTTTTGTAAGAATACACACGGTCATTAGAAGGTAATGATGCCAAATCAAAGCTCCCAGCCATGGACCTTTCCCCCGTTTTTTGCTGAAATCCGTAACCCAATCACCGGCTGGAACGATCAGATGCAGATGCAGCGCGCAAACCACCGAAACTGAAAAACGAATAATCATGACTCCAGATTCCCAACTCCGTCCTTCCTCCCAAAGGGAATACCAAACTCCGCCTCCCCTTGCCGTGCCACCTGCTGAGCTTACCTTCCACTTTCGCCCCCTGATGTTGAGACTTTGATATTGTATAAGTATGTCAAATATAGGTAAAAAGGTGACTACGCCTCAGGGCTGTAGTGACCATACTGCCCAGTGTGTAGACAAACATCGAGATGGGTCCCGTGTTGCCGTATTATATAAACTGATTGCAGTTGCTTAAGCGTTCTGGGGCTGGGCAGCACCGCCACGGCCGCGAGCAGCACCACCGCGGCCACGGTTCTGACCAGAAAAGTTGCCTCGAGAGCCCTGGCCACCAGATCGGCCACCCTCAGCACCTCCACGGCCACGTCCGGGAGCAGGGCGTCCACCGTAGCTGGTGCCTCCATATGCGTTGGCCTTGGGGCGTCGGGCCTCAACGACGATGCTCTCACCGTTAACAGAGTGAGGGTTGGCAGCGGCTGCCGCCTGGTAACCTTCGGTGGTCTTGTACTCGACAAAGGCACAGTTCTATATCACATTAGCTTCTGCAGTGCACACATTGTAAAAATAACATACCTTCTGGCGGTTGATGTCAAAGTAGGTCAGTTCGCCAAAAGCGGCGAGAATGTTCTTGAGATCGGCATCTTGAACCTTGTCTGTCACGTACTTAACATATCCGAGAGTACCCTCCTTCTCAGTGGGAGGAGGTCCGGAAACAGACTGAGGTCGGGTTTGTCGCTTAGAGTCACTGCCAGCAGTCTGCCATCCGGCAGCCTCCTTAGGGGCAGCCTCAGCAGCAGGGGCGTTAGCAGTAGAAGCGGGGGCGGCAGCGGGCTGAGAAGTTGGGGCAGAAGCAGCGGGAGCAGGAGCGCGGCTCTGGTTCACGGGAGGAGTAGGAGTCTTGGAAAGAGGAACAACGGGTCGAGGAAGAGCGGCAGCAGCTCGGCTGGCCCAGGTCATAGGCTTAGGAGGACCGGCAGGCTTCTCGGGAGCGGCAGGAGGGGCAGCGACGGGCTTGGACACAGGTGTAGGGCTAGGGTCCTTGGGCTTCTCTGCCTCCTTGAGGTCTTCCTCGGCCAGTTCCTTAGCAGCCTCGTCAGCAGTCTCAGCAGGAGCCTCAGACTTAGCCTCGGGGGCCTTATCCTCGGTGACTGAAGTGTCGTCGGTGCTGCCATTAAGAGCCACACTGTCCTTAGAAGTAGAAACCTCCTCTAGCTTATGGTCGACAACCTCGGCATCGAGGGGTTGAGCAGGAGCCTCTTCTTGAGTCTCGACAGATTTGGGCGCTTCAGGCTCAGCAGCAGGTGCAGCTTCCTCAGCGGCAGGGGCGGCAGTCTCCTCGGCAGCCTTTTCGGGGGCCTCCTCGGGGGCAGTGGTAGCCTCGGTCTCGGTATCCTCGTCGATAAATCGCAGGATATCGTTCAGGACGAAGTAACCGGAGGGCTGCTGAGCGAGGACAAAGGTCTGAACGAACTTTCTAGGCTCGGCACCCTTGTTGGAGGTCTCGCCAATCACTTGGATAACAATATTCTCAAATGATGCTTGCGAGTCGACGTTGGATACTCTAACCTTGCAGTCTTGGAAGTCGAGCTCCTTGATTCGTTCTTGGATAAGCTGTTTTCTGGTTAGGAACTGCCCATAAAGTTGACGATAGTCAATACATACCTGTCGACCAACAGAGACGTTGGCGACCTCGGCCTCTTGACCTTGGACGAATTGCGAGCGCTTGCCGTAGAAGAGCTTAGACATGGTTAGCATGGATCGTGAGTACACAGAATTAAAAAACATACGTGGAGTTTCTCAGGTGACTTGCTCAAGGTGTTGTAGTATTGCTCGACAAAGTACCAGCCAACCTCATCCTTGGACAAGTTGCTGTTGGCGGAAGCGGCGGCGGTAGTAGAGCCATCGGCGGCGGAGGTAGTGGGAGCTGTTTGTTGTTGGCCTGCAGGTTCCTTGTACTGGTCCTGTTGGGCAAAGTTACCGTTGGAGGCCATGATGGCTGTTGTGATGTGAAGATTGAGATGGCGAGTGTGACGGGAGAGCGAAAATTAGATCGAGTGCGCAATCGGCGGGCTCTCTGTATCGCAGGAACAGGGCAAACAAATGCGTGAAAACGTTAAAAGAAATAGAGCTCTTGTCAAGGATTTAAGCTCAAGAAGCAATCGTGTTCGGTCGAGGACGTATGGATAGACTCGAAAAAGTTGAGTCGTATCGAATCAGGAAGAAAAACAAGCCTGATGACAAACCGGGGTCAAGAGGGTTCGCAGGTCAGAGGCAACGACGATGTGGAAACGTGAGGGGCGAAGAGTTGAGAGGAGATGAGATGGGCCGTCGGATGAAAGAACCCTGGAGAGTGAGAGAAATGATAATAGAGGATTGACTGATAGTGATAGAGGAGGAGGAGATTCGAATTGTTTTACGAGTCTCTTGAATTGGATCGGGTCGGATGTGATGAAGTCGGGATGATGATGTGGTCAGGTTGTTGTTTGGTTCAGACCAATTGTGGAGGGCTCGAAAAACCACTGGATTTGCTTCATTCGCTGTTGCTATTTGCTCGAAGCTCAAGGTTGTGAAGTTGGTCTGTGCGCCACCTCCACAGTCAAGTTCAGCTTCCGCGATTCTCGGAACGGCAAGTGTCATAGTTTTCCCGAGACTTGCCAAGTCCCACGAGACACTGCAAACAGCAATCAATACTGATATATGTTACCTATTAACAGAGTACTAAAGACATATGTAACCCAATCTAGTGAGGCATATAACATTGTATAGCCCGATGCAGCAGGACTTTACAACTTGCTTATTCCATTACCTTTTCGCACATACCCTTTCGCTAGAGGTTAGCCTCTCAGGGATCTTTGCATCAGCATCATGTATGTAGCTTTGAGCATGGAACCCTGTCATTGCAGCATTTTACAAGAATTAATTGGTGCATAATCTGCAGATACATCGCAATATGAACTCTTGACTTTGGTCTCAGTCGATGTGTACACGGTTCTTGTCCCAATGCTTCAAACCTTCAAACAAACTATGTTGGTCCACAGTACAGTCAACCCACGCCTGGAAGAAGATGCCGCTGAGCCAATGTCTATCCAAAAGAACCTCTATTGCGTTCTTGACTTGGTTTTTGTGTGCTTGCGGTCGATACCTGCAAACAATAGCTGTCCATTGAAGTTAAGAACTTAACTCTGGTATTGATTGACGAGTCATATTATAACTGTCAAGCCTGAAACTTCAGCTTCCTATTTCTACCACGATCGATCCAGACTTCAATTTCTGTCATCAATATTGCCAACATTTCCAAGCTTTTGTGCCTTTAGTATATTCAAGTTCACTAAGCTGGGAGTGTTTTATAACAAGCTATCAGAGTCTATTTAGCTTACAGATTACTTGTCTCAACAGAAATAGATATTGTTAAATACTTCGGTCTTATATCACAAAAATTAATACATTTTGATATCTTGAGATGCCCAGCTACTTGATTTATACGCCCGAGATAAGTGATTGGACTGCCGGACCCTGGTTTCGGTGTAAACCAATCGCGGGGTCCACCGCCCGCCCGCTTGAATTTTTTAGTTCAACAACCAAAAAATTTCACAATCTTATCAGCGACCGACTCGAACTATCTCTGAGCGGGCGATATCTCAATCTCAATCACAATTCATACCACAACCAACCTATCTTTCAAACAATTCTCAATTTGGCCTAGAAGCCTCCTAGAATCTGTTTAAGAACCACATAATCAACAAACAAACCCGCCAAAATGCCCAAGTCAAGACGCGCAAAGGTCGTCCACCTCACCCAGGTCGACAAGAAGACGCGCGAGAACAAGGACAAGCTCTTCCAGAACATCCGCGATTCTGTCCCCGAGTACCAGAACTGCTTCGTCTTCAGTGTTGACAACATGCGAAACAACCACCTCAAGGATGTGCGCCGTGAACTCTCTGACTGCCGGTAATTCTCCTCAACCTACCTCTCTTTGGTCGCAGACGGTTGAACTAACTCTGCATAGTCTCTTCTTTGGCAAGACAAAGCTCATGGCCAAGGCCCTTGGTCAGACTCCCGAGGAGGCTATCGCTCCTGGAATTGAGGACCTCAACAAATACTTGACCGGCACCGTCGGCCTGATCTTGACCAACCGCCCCGCCGAAGAAATCCTCTCTTACTTTGAGAACCTCGCTCCTGTCGACTTTGCCCGCGCCGGCGCCGTCGCCACCCGCGACTTCTCCATTCCCACTGGTGTCGTCTACGCTACTGCTGGTGAGGTTCCCGCCGAGCACGATGTTCCTCTGGCGCACACCATCGAGCCCGAGCTGCGACGTCTTGGTGTCCCTACCCGTATGATCAAGGGCCGAGTCGTTCTTGGTGACGAGGCTGGTGAGGGTGAGGAGTACACTGTCTGCAAGGAGGGCGATGTTTTGGATTCGCGACAGACAAGGTTGCTCAAGCTCTTTGATATGTGCATGAGCGAGTTCAAGGTCAAGTTGCTAGCGTAAGTTTTGCCAATCATTGTTGCAACTGGAATTACACTAACACACTCCAGATACTGGAACGCTGCCAACTCGGAGGTGACAGAAGTCAACACCAATGCTATGGAGGAGAATTAGATAAGCTTACAACTGGGCAAAAAAAGGTGCTAGCTAGACGTTGGGTTTGACATCTTCTGTTTGAATGACTGATACCAGCATGAAATTTTTATGGGATCTCGGCGTTGAGGGCCATGGGATATGGAGGGCATCATGTTTTACCAATTGGCCCGCCCCTGAATGACAATACGTACTTTAAAACATTCACGCGACTTGATGCTTCTTTCGAACTATTATTAAACATGAAAACTCCTATATGATACATCAGAGTCGGCCTTGACAGCCGGCCTAGGCGACATTTTGGGGTCAGCAGGTTAGGAATCCTTACCCTGACCTTACCTATGCAGCATTTAATAGCCGGTTCAACAACTATCCTCCATATTTTTGGCCCTCGACTCCCGAAAAAAGCAAATAGACTACAAATAAGCGTTATCTGGCATATCGAGTCGACCAAAGCCTACCGCAATGAACCAGGGCTATTGCCGCAAACAAGTTGGGTGGCTAACAAGTCCCGGCGGGTTACGCAGACATCAGAAGAGGTTGAAAATTCCAAGTAAAACATGCGCATCGTGAAATCTCAGTGTCCGAGACTGAGGTTGTCGTTCAAGTGGCGTGCTTACCCTTTGGTGGAAAAGGGAACTGTATTAATGACTGAAAGATGAGATCGACAACCCACCACATGTGTGTCCATGATGAAGATCGTTCAGTAACGTCGTAGCTTCCTGGGATCTTCGTAGCCGCCGTCATAACCGCGCTTACGGCCACCGTCGTCATCGCGAGGTCTGTCGAAGTCGCGGTCCCTTTCGCGATACCCACCTTCTCGTCGGCCAATGGGTTCGTTGTTGCTTCCGGTGCGTCGGTTCTCGCGATCCCCACCGAATCGGCCACCGTCGCGATGGCCACCGCCTTGTCTGTCGTCATATGAGCGACCACCGCCTCGAGAATCATACCCACCAGGGCCTCGGTCACCCCTTCGATCGCCTCGGTCACCTCGGTCACCTCGGTCACGGTCACCATGGCCTCCGTTCCTACGATCGAAACCGGGTCCGGAGGGAGCATCACTAGGAGCGCCGTATCCGCCTCGGTCACCACCGCGACTGAAATCGCCGCCGCCGCTTCGGAAGCCTCCTCCGCGACCGCCAAACCCTCCTCGGTGGCCACCACGTCCACGTCCACCGTCGAAACCTCTAGGTCCGCCACGGAAACCGCCTCCCCCGGGGCCGCCAAAGCCACCGGGGCCCATGGGACGTGAGGCCATGGCTCGAGTGTAACCTCGGCCACCGAGACCACCACCGAGACGTCGTGGTCGCCAGCCCTTGACGGTTCTGCCTCGTTCAACGTCTACCTTGATACGTCGGTCCTTGATGCGCATGCCATCACAAGAATCCAAAGCCGCTGCTCGTGATTGCGCCGAATGGCGCAGGTGTCAGTCAATCTTACCCTCAATAGTACCTCGTGTGCTGAATGGATTTGACAAAAGAAAAGGAAGAGGCAGAGACGGGCAAGCTTGAGGGCCCAGTGATGTCTCGCCATATACTTCGAGAGAAGGGCAAGCCTGAGGGCCACGACTCAAAAGGTACATCCGGGGAAGAAAACAAATGGCTAGTCAGAGGGGAGAGGGGACTATATTTACCTCGCATGTCCTTTTCGCGTTCGAAAACGACGAAAGCATAGCCTCGGTGGGCCTTCTTCTTCTTGTTCGGCTTTTCGTCGGCATGAGTATCAGTAACAATGCGAATCTGTGATGTTGTTAGCAGATGGTCTCATTAAAGCTTCTCGGGATCGCATACGCGCTCAATAGGGCCATAGCGACCAAACTCCTTTTCCAAGTCCTTTTCGTCGGCTTCATAGCTCAAACGCGCAACAATCAGAGTCTTGAAAGCATCACCACGGATGTTGGTATCCTTGTCGGGACGGTCTATATGACATGTTAGCTAGCGTAAAACAACAAAAGGTATGAATCTTTCGTACAATGCTCGGGCGCCTCTGTGACAAGCCTCTCCAACTTCTCCTTCTTCTCTCGCTTCTTGCGATCGCGACGTTGCAGCCAACTCTCGGTAGGATGGTATACGTCGGTCTCCTTGTATTTCTGAAGCTCTGGGAGGAATTGGGCGACGCCGCTGATGGGCGCTGTCTTGCGGTTCTGGGGCGCATAATCTGGAGCTTCAACCCATCGCAGGGGTGGTCGCGCCGCAAACAGCGCGAGCAGGTTGGGGGGGAGCTTGTCTGTCATTTCACTATCTTGACTTGAATCGGTATAGAAGGTTCAGTGAGAAAAAAGAAAGCGGACGACAATAGATGCGCGCGTAATCTCGCGGAATAAGGTTGATAAAAGCTCAATGCTGCACCAAGTTTAATTGAAGTTGCGCGACTGTGGAATGAAATTAGACTGGACTCGATGAGTAAGGGTGCCTGGATAAGACTTGTCGATAGCCGACATTTTGCCGCTCCGCGCTAAACCATAATGGGGCATGCTGCACCCGAGATCATTTTCTGGTGATGGCTTCGTAGCTAAATTATCTCTGGTTGTCGGATCATGAGTATAGCGATTGATACGGCCACACAAACATGACTGTCAAGGCGATAAGACAAATAGCCAAGGGCCAGGTACGTTCATTCTTCGATCTTTCCCGTCGGTCGGGGGGGGCAAAGGCTGACTTTTCTAGAATGGTCTTGGCGCATTTATCCTCCAGTGCAAGAAGTTGGACTTTTACTACTGTGACTGGGCTGGCAGCTCCAAGGGCATGAAGTATGTGATCTATCCCTGAATTTTCCATCTGTTTCTGTGTACTAATGTTCTATAGCGGCTTCATCAAGTCTCTTCTTCCCAAGTTCGCCGCTGCCAACCCTCAAGTCGAATTCGCCATTTCACCCCGACCCGGCAAGCACCCCGTCGTCATCGGCCACTACATCAACGGTCTACAAAAGCCCATCTGTGTACGAAACCTATCACCATACGAGATTCTTAAGAAGGCCGAGTTGCTACGGGATGCCAGCGGAGAAAAGCTCAAGAAACACAACCAGGCTGTTACCAGCACCAGACCAAGTGTGCGTGGTGTCTGGTCTCCATACCACGGCAAGGGAACGCCTGTTTAAAACGGTGGCTATCACACTCGATTTGTGTCTTTGTACGTTTAGATATTTGTAACAATTTGGAGGGTTGTTTGTATTGTAGCATTGGGTTGCGAGGAAATATGTACGACTGAGAACAATATCTCCAAAATACTGAGGCATGAATGAAATTGCTTCATAACTACACCGCTAGTCATTTACATGCTATTTTCGCAGAGATCAATTAAAGTGAAGGTGCAGATAGTATGTCAAAGGCTACTCGGTTCACGAAGCATGGTATTATAGTTCATGGGTATAATCTTTTGTTTCATTCATCATCTATCTGTTCTCATACCAGGTACTAACACCGTAACGGAACAAAGCGTTTTACTTTTAAATTCATTAGTTTACTGCTTGGTAGCGTTGATGATGTCGACGACTGCGATTTGTTAGCGTAGTTCAAACTGAGATCATATCGTGATAACTTACAAGCAGGCTTGAGAGAAGCACCACCGACGAGGAAACCGTCAATGTCGGCCTGCTTGGAGAGCTCGGCGCAGTTCTTCTCGTTGACACTGCCACCGTAGAGGATGCGGGTCTCGTCAGCAACCTTGTCGCTGATGCTACGGAGGAGATCACGGATGGCCTTGTGGACCTCCTGGGCCTGCTCAGTGGTGGCAACCTTGCCAGTGCCAATGGCCCAGATGGGCTCGTAGGCGATGACAATGTTGGACCAGTCGGAGATCTGGGACTTGAGGGACTCGATCTGGGCAGAGACGAACTCAATGGTCTTGCCAGCCTCGCGGGTCTCGAGGGACTCGCCGCAGCACCAGATGACCTTGAGGCCGTTCTCGGTAGCGTACTTGGTCTTGGAGGAGATAACCTCGTCAGACTCGCCAATGATGGTTCGGCGCTCAGAGTGACCGAGGATGGCCCAGTTGATCTCGCTGTCCTTGAGCTGGGAGACGGAGATCTCACCAGTGAAAGCACCGTTGGGCTTGTCGTAGACGTTCTGAGCGGCAACCTCGACATCCTTGCGGAGAGTCTCGCGGACGAGGGGGAGGTAGAGGGCAGGAGGAGAGACAACGACCTCTAGAAGTGGTGTATGTTAGTCAATGTTTTACCAACAACTGGAGAATGAGGGGTTCTGTTGAGAAGCTGGGAAGAGAGTCGCGGGGCAGGGGATAGAGGAATGACGTACCGGCGTTCTTGTCAAGGTCAGCGTTGTTGAGGTTGTCGACAATCTCCTTGATGGACGACTTGGAGCCGTTCCTATAGAAAACAATTGTCAGCTTTCTGAATAACTTCGTCCAAGCAAGTCTGCGGCCTTTTTTTGCTTTTTAGAGGGGGAGGGGCAGCAACGAAGCAAATCTGCGCAGAACAACAGAAGGTCATGGTGGGGTAAAAGCTTACATCTTGAAGTTGCCGCCGACGAAGAACTTGCGAGCCATGATGGGCAATTAGTGTATAATAATATGGGTAGAGGTTAGAGAAGTTGGGTATGTGATGAAAAAAGTGAGGCAGATGAGGACGAGAAGAAAGGAAAGTTAATGTTGAGTCGGGATGGGAAAGACGTAGCTAAGTACTACGTAAATGGTCTGGAGCTTAGCTGTACCACACCTGCAGGTGGATATCCAATCCCATACTTAATCTGGATCGGGCTGAAGCGGCTCACAGTCAGGTCATGAAATATGGACAGACATTGATAATGCATGGATTAATGGGTTCAGATTTAGATATATGGGTGTACGAGTCATTGTGTCCGTTCAAACAATGGCACCATTTTATCATTATTTATCGCAGAACTGTTGTGTATAATTCTTTACACCATTACATGTAGGTACATATCTCTATGACTTGGCACCTGAATAGCATCACTTATACCAAGCAACCACGGTAGTTGAGGTCTACCTACTATTTTCCGGCAGAGTTCGGGGCTCGACTACCGTCTGATAATCATCATTCCGTTTCTCTCCTTTATTTACTAGCTAATCCCTTACAATCCCCTGAAATATACGAGTAGTGTAATTCGCCATGACAACCTACAATAAAAAACTTCCAGATGCTTCCCTCAGGTACCCGGGTCACTGCCGTTTTTTTGCTGATCCAAGATGCAGCACTTCCAGGGCAGCGTCATAGTGGAGGCTTCAGAACCCCAAACCATCATAGACCTCTCCACTACAAACCTACAAGATGTAACTGAAACCACCGAGGCTGTGACCGAGCCGACAATATCTCGGAGCTATTTACCGCCGTTGTCGTACCATTGTTTGCTTCCAAGGGGTTGAGTGATTTTTATTAGCTCATTGAGAGAAAACTCAACTCGGGGGGAGTGTTAATAAACGCAAATACTATTTCAAGGCTGCGTGTAAATGCACACGGATTGTAGACCAACTACACCTCACGTCCCCACGATCTTGCCCCGGAGTCTCATTCAATCGACCCTGCTTCTTCCGACCGTGCAAGTTTCACCGCTGATCATGACTTGTCTTTCAGCAGTTTCCTCTATCTTACGAGCATCATATCTCAGACGATATACAATGTAGAACAAATGTTCAGCATATTCATGTTTTCGAGCCATAGATGCTATGCAATGGCTAACTTATCATGTAATGTTGCGTCACTGTGGTATTTACTGTTAAACTTGCATCAATGTCCAGCATAAAGGTTATCTCAACAAGAACTTCACTTCAATCGTCTTGGAATGTATGTAATAGTAAAAACTTGATTAAACTCCCAAATCCTATCCAATGTTTCCAATGTCAAAATTCCTCCCAAACAAAATGTCTAATCTGCTACCCTTTCCTGTAGTCAAGGGCCATCTGTTGTTGTTTCTGTAAAATCTGGATCAATCTCTTTTTCGAATGATCATTCTATCTAATGGTTTCCCCTTCGACGTCCCCCTTCCGTTCCTTGCTCTGTCGACTCATCGAGTCGTTTTATTTCTCCCATAACGGGGACTTCGTTATCCTCCTAGCGCAACGGCGGCGCAATCCTTGGGACCATATCCGTATCCTGGGATTGTAGGGGCCCGGTTGTAATGCAATGCATCCGTTCCTTGGGATAAATTCTACTGGGCAGGACAGGTGCCTCTGCCGTAGATTGTGGGCGTTTTTTGCCCGAACCTTGGGACGTCTTGGAGATTCAGAATTTGTCTCTATATCAGACGGACATTCGTATCTCTCGTTGTGCACTTGCACAGATCAAATTTGTTGTTTTGGTAGCAGACAAGACTTGTATATCTGTGAACTCGAGTTAGTAAATTGCGCTTACTTGTAGTACTGTTAAGACTTACAAATTCATTCAGCCAGTACCAACCAGAGTGTTTCCGGGGTTGTTGATGGCGTTAAGGTCCGTGGTAAGCTTGATCATGGAGTTCAGGCGGCTCTGCATGGTTCCGAGGTGCTTAAGGTTCTGGGTATCCTCAGGCTTGACAACAGTTCGCATGAGGCTCTGGACAGCCTTGTGGTGCTCCATCCATTGGTCAATGAGAGGCTGGGTCAGGTTCTCCTTGGGCTCCGGGGGAGGAGGCATCGACTTGACAGCCGCCTTGCGGCTGGTGGAAGTCTGAGTCTCCGAGGTCTCGGTCTTGCGCTTACGTCCCTTGGCGGGCTGAACAGATCCAGTTGTAGGTGAGCCACTGGAGCTACCGTGGTCATTGTGAACGCGCTTCATGTGGTCGCGCAGGTTCCACTGGCGGGGAAATCCGTTTCCGTGAACAGCACGCTCACAACCCTCATAAACACAAAGGAAAGGCTTGTCACCGTGGCCGTGGAGTCCGTGAGCCTCACGCTCGTGGCGAAGAAGGCAAGCAGTGGAAGAGAAGCGGGCGCCCTCGCATGACTCAGCCTTGCAGCGGTAGGGCTTCAGGTGAGAGTCAACAAACTTGCTAAATCACAAGGTCAGTAATTGAAGCCTGTCTACAATAGTGTTGCTTCTTACTCGTAGTTGCACTTAAGCTTCTCAGGTCGGTGGCTGCAGCTGGGTTGTCCCTCCCATGGGCAGTGGTAAAGTCCATCCTCAAAAGGAGCGGCCTTCTTGTAAAGGTCATGGTCCCGTGCGGACTCACCATCACTGTTCTGTCGTCGTGGTCCGGTGAAGGCAGAAGCAGCGGGAAATTCATCAAGAGTGGAAAGGGCCTTTCCGTTGACATCCTCAGGGATCAATGGAATATTGCGGTCA